GGAAAGAAAGGGGGTTCTTAACCACCTGGGGAACTCCGGTGGTCAATGGTAAGGCCATTCAACATTTACTCCAGGCCCTACAAGAACCCAAGGAGGTAGCCATCGTCCACTGTCGAGGCCATCAGATGGGCACAGACCCAGTCATCCAGGGAAACACCCTGGCCAACGCCACGGCCCGCCAACTTACCTCAACCCAGGACACCACCTGTCCTGTTTCTTTCTCCCTCCCTAACTCCCAGGTACTCGGAAAGTGAACAACAGCGGCTCCTCAGCCAGGGCGCCGTGGCTGGGCAACAGGGGTGGATGTACCTCAGAGACAGTATAATCCTTCCCCAGACACAAGCAAAGGAAATCGTGGCCACAATCCACCAGTCTTTACACATTCGTCCCAAGGACATGCATAGGTTTCTTTCCCTGATTTTCTCGCCGCAGGGTCTCCGAGAAACCATCAACCAGGTCCATATAGCCTGTCAAACCTGTGCATATGTTTCCTCTCAAGAAGCCCTCCAGCGCCGGACGGCGGGCCACCAGCTGCAAGGGTGTCTTCCTGGACAGGACTGGCAAGTGGACTTCACTCATATGCCAACACACAAAAAGTACCGATACCTACTAATAATGGTAGATACCTTTTCAGGTTGGATCGAGGCCTTTCCTACGAGCCGGGAGACAGCTTCGGTGGTGGCTGAGACCTTGGTGGAGCACATCATCCCCCACTTCGGCCTCCCAACATCTATCCAGTCAGACAACGGCCCAGCATTCATTTCAAAAATTACTCAGCTGGTGGCCGAAGCCCTCAACATCGTCTGGAAACTTCACATCCCCTACCGCCCTCAGTCCTCGGGTAAGGTGGAATGGGCAAACGGCCTCCTAAAGGACCAACTAACCAAACTTTCCCTAAAGGTAAAACTTTCCTTGCCCGCTCTGCTCCCTGTTGCCCTCACTAGGGTGCGTGCGGCTACCGGGGGGCCGGTCGGCCTTAGCCCATTTGAATTGATGTATGGTAGGCCTTTTCTCATTAACACCGGCCTTCCTACAACTCCTCTGCCACTAGCCTCCTACCTGCCCTACCTCTCACTCCTCAGGTACCTCCTACGAGAACATGCCGACCAAACCCTACCCCAGGCCAACTCCATACCTGACCCACGGGCAGCCGTCATTCTACAGCCTGGTGACGAGGTTCTCCTTCGAGAGCTCCAACCCTGGTCCCTTCAACCTCGCTGGACGGGACCTTACACAGTAGTCCTTACAACTCCTACCACGGCTAAACTGTTAGGACACCCTCGTGGTATCACATTTCTCTACTCAAGCAGGCCCCCCCCAACAATGAAGTGTGGAAATCTAATGAGATGGGACCCCCCTGGTTACGGTTTAATCGTATTAATGTTAGTAAGCCTAGCCAATAACTTTACGATGACATGGGGAATGGCTGATTGGACTTGCAACCAATGCGTCTCTGCAGGAAAACCCAAACTCTACCAGCTGGATCCCTGTACGTGCTATCATCAAAAATTTTCATGCCAACTAGGAAAACAAAAGTACTAGGCTGCAATAATGTTAAGAGATTTCCAAGTGGGCTGCCCAGGCGGCAGTGGCACAGAATGCTGCTGGGAGTAAGACCCCCCACCAAATCCCCAAGGGAAGATACCCCCTTGCCCCACTGAATGTTCAACCTTCCATTCTTTTGTCCAGGCACCTTGCTACGTGCAAGCCTCGGTCTGCCTCAGACCAACCAAACAACAGGCCTGGACGGGATGGAGCGTGGGACAACATGCTGGGTATTCTTGTCCCGGGCACCAGGGACAAGAGATCTGCTGGAACCTCAGACCTCCTGTGGGTATATCAGATGGGGGAGGGGCGCAGAATTATGCTGAACAGCAAAACACCAAGTGGGTCATGGAAGAACTCATTCAACATTTCAATGGACCGGTATTGATGCGCTCCAATCTCCCAAAACCCCAGGGCCCTTATCAGACAAACCCGGGACTCCTTCCTGTCCTTAACAAAACCCATACCCTGCTTAACCTTACTAACCCCGGCCTAGCAAAGGACTGCTGGCTATGCCTCAAGTCCGGCCAGTCCTGGGTCTCCCCTGTCCCAGTCACAGGAGATTGGACTCTCCCTATGCCTCCAACCCAATGTCCACCTTTACTACCGCGTTCTGACAGCCCACTCCCACATGACTTGCCCGCGGCCCAGTGTATGGCACCCTGGGGGTTGGATGGGCCCCCCTCTGCCTCTGCTCACAATCACTTGTTGTCCAATCAAATAACAGCCTCTGCCCCCCACTTAACAGGACTGCCTTTCTATGCGGCACTACCATCTACCTGGTCTTGCCCCCCAACTGGTTGGGGTCCTGCATTCTTGTCATCCTCCTCCCCACCATTGTAATAGCACCCGGTAACCAAAGCCTGCCTGTCCCCTTGGTTGGCTCCTCAACATCAAGCGTAAAGCGGGCAGTTGAGCTCATACCTCTGCTGGTGGGGCTGGGAATTACCGCGGCCATGGGAACAGGGGCAGCAGGACTGGGATCCTCACTTCACTTTTACAAACAGCTGTCCTCCCAACTAATCGAGGACACACAACAGGTGGCAGACATGGTCCTAGACTTACAAACACAACTAGATTCCCTGGCTGACATCGTCTTCCAGAATCAACGGGGACTAGACCTGCTAACAGCAAAAGAGGGTGGGATATGCCTATTTCTTAGGGAGGAATGCTGCTTCTATGCCAACAAATCAGGGATAGTCAAGGACAGAATTAAACAATGACAAGAATACCTCCAAAAACAGAGAGAAGACCTGACCGGAGGCCCGTTCTCAGGGTAGTGGCAACCCCAGCTCCTAACGTGGCTTCTTCCTGTTCTGACTCCACTGATTGTTGTATTTATCCTCTTGTCAATGGCCCCATGTGTTTTTAGGTTTCTCCAACAGCCCCTGGCAGAGCTCTCTCGAATAACGGTCAACCAACTACTGTTACATTCATATTCGACCCTTCCATCCAAACCACCTCCGGCCCCATATCAGCATTAATACTCCCCCTACGCCGCCCCTCCCCAGCAGGAAGTAGCTAGAATGAGCCAGCACCCCTATGACCAAAAGGCTGGAATGTAAGGTTGGAGGCACCAGAGGGCGGGGTGGGCCTCAACAAGACAGCTCCAACCCAGACCAGGAGAACAATGGGCGAAAGTGAGCCAGCAAAAATGAGTGACTGGAACTAAGACTCCGGCCACAAAGTTGGCCAGTACCTGTCACAGCGACTCTAGCAACCCTGTTCAGCCAATCGCCAGCAGACGTGACAGCTGTCCCAACCAGTGATTGCTCTCCCCAACCCCTTCTCAGTGTGCCCTTTAAAAACCCGTCACCCATCTTGCTGGGCGCGACTTCTCCGGCCCACAGCTACGTGGACCGGTGAACTTCGCCCAGGATTGCGCTAATAAATTTTTCTTGGCTCCTTTGTTGCCATTTCGCCTGGTCTGGTTTCATTTACCTTACACTATGTATGATTATTTACACTTGCAGATGCTTTATGTATAAAGCTGCCTATGATCTTTATCATACTCTGTGAAGGAGGCAGAACTGTGCCCATTTTACAGGGCAGGAAACTGGACCCCAGAGAAATTAGCTGACAGCTCATGTAGTTGGTAAGAGGTAAAATTAGGATTTCAATCCAGGTCAGTATGACTCCCAAACTTGAACTCTTTCTTCCACCATATTTCTTCTACAGATTTCTAGGAAATGGAGGCCCGAAAAGGATAAGGAGGTTAAGGTTAAGGTTACCCAGCTCATAAGAGGCCAGGATGGGCAAGAAATCAGGCCTTTGCCCCTCTAAATTCAGTTCACTTTCCACTAAGATCTCATGAATAAAAACTTTTTTTCTCTCAGTTGCTGAGTCAGGAGCCATAATGCTGAAGCTGGGGGGAAAATACATAGAATGCACTAGTAATCTTTGAAAAACAAAACAGAAAACCAACACACCTGTGGTGAATGACCCTGAGACAGGTTCACTTTCCTCGAAGCCCTTCATGGCGATGACACTGACAAGGTACTCCACCCCAGGTATGAGCCTCACTAGCCTGGCCTGAGTCTCGGTTCCTTCCACGGTTGCCATTGACGGTATACCTGGAATGCAGAAAAAGCAAGATCAGGCATGGGAAGTCTCACTGAAGCTTATTCACTGTTGCCCTCAAAATGGGCATATCTTATTTGGAAATGAAACTCTATCCAGTATCGTTTTCTTGACTTCTTTTCATTTGCTCCTACCCTCTGGCATAAGGGAAGAGGACTTACTTTTTGTATAATGCTTTTTCCATTGGTGCAGATGCCAAACTCCAAGCCAGGAGAGGAAAAAGTCATGAAGTCACTATGTACTAAAAATGGCAAGTTTCCATTCAGTGGAGTGCTGGCATTTGTGCACATTTTATTTCCTTTATTTGTTTTTCCACAAAGAACATGGGAAGTTCACTATGTAATGTATATCTGATCTATTTAACCCATTGTCTTGGTTTAGGGTTACGTAGACTGCCTTACAAGCTGAAACTCTACTGAGGAAACAAAAGATGGTCATAGTCAAATTTGTGCTGTTATATTTATCAAGAAATCTAGAATTTATATTTCTTAGAATGTGGGGGTGGGTGAAGAGCTTGTGCTTCAGCTGGTCAAACTCCCCATAGAGATGCCACAGCACTTTTGTGAAGAGGTTATCAACCATCTTCCCAGAGAGCTCACTACCTACCAGAATGTCATTAGCCAGATTGGTCTGTGCCACCTCCTTGTGATCTCTATTACAGTTCATGTGCTTTTAATTAGAATTCACAGCTCTTCCAAGTCACAATTTGCCAGCCTTTATTGAGAAAGACAGATCTTGACACCCAAAGGCAAAACCTCACATATATAAAAGACCAGCTGTTCAGATGAATGTGCTCAGAGAGAAAAAGGTCAATGTATCTAGAGTCTTTGTGTGCCAACCATATTGGGGATCTATTTCTTATAGAGTTTTATAATTTCAAGGCTATAAAGGGTCTTCACAAGGTAATTTATTCTAAGGATCTCACAGCACTTAAAATGGGTTCTTTTCTCTCTGGATGGTCTCAGAAAGAAGGAATTTGTTTTCTTTGGCCATGATGTTCGAGGGGTGGCAATTATCAGGGTCTCTTTTATTATGTCATCCAAACCCTCCATACTCCTTCATTCCCTCCCTCTCCAAGTCCCTTACCTCCAGTAATGGGCACATAGGTAATCCGGAAGCTCTCCACCTGTGCTGTGGGTGCCATCCAACTGACAGTTGCTGAGTTTTCAGTGATGTCTGAGAAAATGATTTCCTTTGGGGAGCCCATAGCTATCAAGGAGAAAACACAAGATAAATCAAGAAATAGTTAACTATCTTGTCCATCAGTGTTTCTTCCCGAATTCCTTATCTAGGAAAACTCAGTGCCTAGGGGTTGTGTCCTTGTCAAACCTTTAGGATGGAGAATGTGGTGAGTTGTGGTTGTGACATGATAGAAGCAATCCTTCTTTCATTTTGGGTACAGGGCTCAGGGCTGTAGAGGAGTCATCTTGTTTCATTCAAGAGGAATGTTAACATCACAGCTAACTTCCAAGCAATTGAGGGACAGTGGTTTCCCGTATGGGAATATTCCGCCCTTTTACTTTTGATTTTTAGCATTTTCCAAATCTTTGTTTTCTAGTTTCTTTTACTAAATAATACCACGACTTGACACTGTAAAGTTCTTTGCAATTTGTAAGATTTAATTCTCATATAGAACTTCTTGGAAAGAAGATGTAGATGTAGCCATTTTACAGATCACCAAACTGAGGCTCCTTCTTCTAAAGAATATTCTTGTGATATGACTGTTCTGGGTCTTAGGACTAGGCAGCAGAGCTAAGCACAGCCTGGGATCCTGGAAATGATGTTCTCATGAAAATGGACCTGGACAGACCCCATTCCTAAAACTGGAAGAAGAGCAACCTCAGGCCCATCACCAAAGCAAACACCCAGTGGGCACTTGTGGGGAAAATCATGCCCGGGGGAAAGTCTCTGCTCCCTAAATCCCTCCCCACAAGACCCAGTTTCCTTTGGCTTTTCTCTGTGTATTTTTTTTGGCTTAGATATTTGCCCTCTCCAGCTGACCATGCTTAACCAGAGAATTCGGGAAACAATTTTCAGCCTCTCAAGGGTGCACTTCCTCATTTTTTCCCTTCTCCAACCCACATTGATCATTAAATTATGAAACTCATGGAAATTTGGTGAGGGTTTTTTTCTTTTTATTTCTGTCTTTCCCTCCCATCCAAGAGATCTCCACCTACAGTTTTCTTCTGTGACCTGGTAGCCACCCCCAGACTCTGTGGCTGCCTGGGTTTTTGCCCTGTCCATGGAAAGTTTTGGAAACCACAAGGTCTCTAGAGCTTGGAAGATCTTAATTGTCCAAATACCATTGAGAGGCTGGGCAACCTAGGGCAGGTCCCTTCACTTCTGTGAGCCTCGGTTGCTCCATCTCTTCAGTGAGAAAAGCAGTACCTACCCACAGGAATGTTTTGAGGATTAGCAGGGATAATAAATGTACAACTCCTAGCACAATATCTGGCATGCAGTAAGAATTCAGCAAGTATGATTGCCTTCTCTTTCTTTTCTTTCTCGTGTGACTCTTTCCTCCATGGGCTGCCCTAGATTTCGAGTTATACCCTAGGAAAGATCTAGATGAAGCCATCAGAGAAAACAACAGCAAAAAGCAACACAGCAAGGTGTTTAAACTTCCCTCTGATAGCTTTGTACAGTATGACTTTTGCTCTAACTGTAAAGGTCATTGGTGTAGGTTCTGACACATTAGAGAAGGTATATCTTAGACCAAAGCTTTTTTCTCTAAGTCCTAGTTTTCTCATCTGCAAAATGACAATACTTGCCCTGTCTTGTACACCATAAGAGTTAGTGGCCTCATCCCTCACACAATCCTGGAAAGTAGGAAGATAAGCCATACACAAACTGAAGAAATGGCACATTAGTGGTGGGATTCCAGGGTCAATGGGTATGATATTTTTGGACAATTGGCCTTCCTAGATGGGGAAGACTATTTGTAATTCCAGCATGTCTTCTGCCTTGAATAGAGCCCCTAGTTTTCAGCTTTACAACAGATAGCTGTGCACAGAACAGCTAAATCACATCTACGGAAAAGCTGGGAGATCCACACAAGGCAATGACTTTTGTCTCTTCTTCTGAGACCATGCTGTTTTTTGCTTTTGGGGCTTTTTTTTCAGCTCTGGAATTGCTAAAACTCTCATGGAGGTTGAAGAGGGCTTCTGTCTGCTCTCAGCATAAAAAGTTGCACCCCCCCAAGTCTGGAGCAAATGTCTTTCATTATATGGCCTTTGATGATTATTTAAAATAATCATTTCTTCTTCAATACATTTTTATTGAACACTTGACATGTTTCAGGTCCCATGCTAAACCAAGGGAACAGCTGCTGCAAGCAGTTTGGTTTAGAATAAGGATTTTGGAATTGAATGGACCTGGGTTTGAATTCTACTTTAGCTTTACTAGCTACAAACACCTTAGCCCCTTGGGTCCCAGTTTTCACATCTGGAAAATGGGGCTGAATGTGAGACTCATTTGGTCTGCTGGGTCACTGAAATTCAGTGAGGTAAAGTGTGTCAACCATCCTGCTGCATGGAGCATGAAGTACATGCTCTACAATTGGTGTTATCTTCTTTGTGCTTCTTGGGGAAAGCGTGTGAGTCAGGGCCATGGGTGCCAAGCACAAAAAACCTGTGGGAGGGGGTATTTGCCAAGCAGGTGTTTCTACAGACCTGTTGATCCAGTCTCCAGGCACAGTGTCATTGCAACTCTTTGGTGTGTGGCTTCCAGCTCATCTGAACTGCAACCCGAGAAGTTGAGAGGCTGCCCGGCTGGGAAAGCTGGGACAGGCCGGGAGTGGGGGGGCATGTTCTGGGAGTTGGGAGGAGGGGTTTTGACTGCCCTATTGGCATTAGGGGTGGAAGAGAGTACCAGGAGTGTATATACGGGGGTAGGGATGGGGAAAAGTTAAAGAAATATTTATGGGACCTCAATCTGAGACTCCAAGGTGGGCTATAGGAGCCTTCAAAAGACAATGACAAGGTCATCTTACTCAGTTGCTGAGATTTCATTCATGCCTATTCAGGAGACTCAAGACAGCACACAGAAGCACTTGACATTTAATTTTCTGGTGGCAAAAGAAGCTCCTGACAATTCTGGGCCTAAGCGAGACCAAGAGTATTATAAGAAAGTGGCTCAAACTTTATAAAGGAAGAAAAGCCATTGCAAATGCAGGAACTGACAGAAAGACAGAATAAAAGTGATAACCTATGTGTCCATCAGTAGGGAAGTAAATAGTTTATTAGGGTTATCTTTGAGATCTACTAAGTAAGAAAATCACATATACACATAAAACAAATAATGGAAGAGTGAGTAAGACGTAAAACACTGTGCCCACCCAAAAAGAGCTAAAAAAATAAGAATGTAAATTTATGTCTAATTTGGTCTATTTATATTTCTGGAAGGACACACAAGATAGTGGTAATATTGATTGTCTCTAGATAATCAGCTGGGTGGCAGGGATATGGTAGAATAGAGACTTCACTGTACATCTTTTTTAACACTTGAGTTTTGAACCAGGCAGCCTATTCAAAAAAATCATCAAAAACAAAATTACCAAATACAATAATAGCTAATATTTTTGTGACTATGGACAAGGAGAGTCTGTGAAATTCATGATCTCACTTAAACCTCATGGCTGCTCTTTGAGTTAAATTCTGTTTTCCATATGAGGGGCTTGAGGCTTAGAGAAAGTAGAGGCTCAGGAAAGGAGACATCCCCAAAACCACACAGCTATTAAGAGGTATAGGCATGATTAGACTCCAAGGAGAAGCTGCTGGCTTAACTATTTGGCTACACTGCCTTTCACCAACTCTGTGCTGCCCCAGGCACTGAGGCTGGCAGTTGTGAGGAGGAGAGGTATCTTGTGTGGGAGAGGAAGAGTCACAGCAGAGTTATCAGGAGGAAGTGGAACAGGACATTACAGAGAAGAGTTTACAATTAGGGAGGAAAGAGAGGAGAGGAGAAAGGACTTAAAAAAAAAAAAAAAAAGAAACTATAAAACCGATGAGGCAAAGGTGGAAATTAGACATCAGCTGTGCTCAAGGGCCACCTCTCCTGTTCTTCCTTGGTCCCAAAGAACAAGCATGCATGTACAGGCACACACACACTCACGCTCATTCCTCTTTTTGGCTGTGACCTACAAGGCTCTGGAGAAGGGAATCAGAGAGAGGGGTTTCCAAAAGAGCAGAGTCTGCCTTTCCTTTTGTTCTTCAAAAACAAACAACAACAACAAAAACCCAGCTTGTGATTATTCATTCATTTTTTTTTTTTTTTTTTTGCTTTAGAACTGCAGGGCTTCTAAAAATAAGATTACAAAACAAAATCAATGACTACAAGTAAACTTTGAAGAGCAGTGTTTATAAACCGAGGTCAAAATCAGGCTCTGCCTCCGATCTAGAGTTGTTTTATGGGCAGCCACAGGGAGGAGGAGACTCAGACTTGCATTCATCCTGGGATAGGGTGTCCCTGTTCATAAAGAACAGAGTTTTCCCTCTTGCTAAGTTGCTGCCTAGATTCCAGTAATTTTTCCTCATCTATAGTACTGATTATGATTTCTGAGGGTGGTTTCTTGGAGCTTTTTAGGTTCTGAAACTTGACATAAAAAAAACCCTATTTTTAGACAAAGATGAGTTTTGACTGATGTTATGCTCCATGCCTGTGAGAAAGACAAGCATATTTATTCATTGGTTATCTGTCATCCAGCCTGCTCTCATTTAATAGTATTAAAATAAGTTGGTCATTTGGATTTTATCCCAAATCTAGCTATGTGACCTTAAGAAAAATTGCTTCATGTTTCAGGGTCTTAGATTCTTCAAGCACAAACAAAAAAGACTTGGCTACCTCATTTCTAAGGTCTCTTTAATCTCTCCCTGTGATTTTGTGACCCTGTCCTCTGATTTCGCTTTGAAGCAGCTGAATCCAGCAAATGCTAGGTTTTTGCAGCTCCCTCAGTTTCATGCAGAAATTCACCTAATTTGTGGTGGGTCTTTTTCCCTTCAAAGAGTCATGTTTTTTTTTAGTATTATAATAAAGAGTCATGTTATTAGCCATTTTTTTCTCCTTGAGGAATAGTTCACATGAAAAAGGGTTTTCATTTCCCTCTCAAGGTGTCTTATAGAGTTGTTATAAGTGTCCAATAAAGTTACGGAGCCTCATGAAGAGTATCTTGTTAATCTTACCAGCTCTCTCCTTTTTCCTTGCTGATCACTGTACTGATTATTCATATGTAGCATCTTATGCATATTAATCTTTATAGATGGAGGTGCTATTATCCCCCACTTAGTGTAGCTCAAATGTTTGACCAAAGAACATGGAGACGTATCTCTGGATAAAATATGATGAGATAATAGGCAAAAGGAAGAGTCTTTGGAATTAAAATGTGATAATTGTGATGATGGTGATGCTTTAATGACAATGTGGATAGTTCTTATTCGTGGAGCCCTTGCTATATGCCAGACCCTCTGCTATGAGTTTTACATAAATTATCTCATTTAATCCTCATGACCCTATTAAGTAAATGACATCATACTCCTTTTGTATATGGACTTGGCCAAACTGTCCAAGTGTATAATGGAAATAACCAGGATCTGAGATCAAGCTTGCCTGATAGAAAGCTCTTGTGATTACCCAGCCCTGTAGGAAGAAGATCTCTAAGTCACGACTTCTCTCCTGTGTATTTACAGTACCTGTTGTTGCTATAGCACTGACTGGCTGGGATCGCCTTCCATTGCTTACTCCATAGAGCTCAATTTCGTATTCAGTAGCCTCTCTGAGACCTGTTATGTCCCTGGTACGTTCGGGGGCAAGTAGGGTTATTTCCAGTGGCTCAGACTGCTTTTTGGTATCTCTGATTTTGAGAACAAAACTGTCGAAGACCCCTTCATCAGCTGTCCAGGATAGACGGAAACCGTCTGGAGTGGCGTCTGAAACCAGAAGATTGTCAACTTCTGGTTCGGCTTCTAAGGGGGGAGAAAATGGTGGAAGGAGGAGGAAAGAGAACATCATTTACCAGTCCATGCAATCTTCTCTCCACTGGGGGTATCAACACCCAGTGATGCCCCAGCTTTCAGAGATAGCAGTGTCCTGAGATACCAAAAATAAAATCATTCAACATTAACAAGGCCAGTAGGACTGGGAGAAGGGAAAGATGGGTGTGATACATTCAATACAAGCCAAGCGTATGATTGCATATATGAGTTTTGTCTACAAGCAGTTCTATAAATCTACATCTGGATTCAGCATCAGCCCCTCCCACATGTTATTAAATAAGTTCAAAGTCAGTCAATTGTTTACACTTGCTCTCTGTCTTCCAGTGGCTGAGTGCCCATCGTCTGTGAGATCTTTCTTTTCTTTTTGAAAAGACAAATAAACCAGCATTAACGATCTGTAGAGCTGCCCACAATGATACTGTTGATTATATTTCCCTTGAGCCTGTGCAAAATGGCTTTTAAAATGTTATGGTATTTTTGCTTTGTTCTTAGAGCAGTTTTACTAAAGAAGGCTCCTACCCTTTATTTTTATTCTTGCTTTCTTTCTTGTTATTTTAACCATTAGATAAATGTTCAGATGGTAGAACTGAGGCTTGGAACCTCTTGTGCTACATACTTTGGATTCAGGGTTTCATCTTGGATTGCCTTAACTAGACAAAACTCAATGTCAAGGTAAATTTAGAGCTGTGTTTCCCAAACCTTACTCAGAGCAAATTATTCCTGTTTGATCTTCTTCCTTAAAACGTATCCATTGTCAAATAAGTTTGGGAAATACTGCCTGGATAAGCCCTGCTTGGAGATACACAATGCACACTAGAGTGTTATGAAAAGCCTCATGGTTCAATTTTAACTCAATATTTCCAAATTTACTTGAACATGGAATTTTGTCACCAAGTAGGACATTTGGATATTCTATGGAGTTGGTAATCTCTAGAAAGACTTTGGGAAACACAGAATTTTGACCATTAAAGTTGTTAATGTTATGTTTCTGTAGGAATTATTAGTCTTGAGAAAATTATGGATTTAGTCTGTGTTGCAGAATCTCTCTGATATTAGTGTCCACATTTGGTTTTTCAATGACAAGTCCACTAGGCAAATTTGTTAAAATCATGGTTGAGATTTTGAGATGGCAAAGGTTTTAAACATGTTTTCAAAATATACTCATTAGTATATTTCTTCTGAGAAGGTTGAAATGGGGATGAGTCAGGATGAACACAAGGAAAGATGATATAAGGTAAGCACAAGAGCTATGGACAAGACATGGTCCAAAGGATTTGGAACACTGAAACATTTCCACCTTCTCATTTCTGGGGTGGGAGCAGGGAGTGCTCATTAGATACATAAAACAAGGGGGAGCGTGGGAAGAACATGAACAAACAGGCCACATCCATGGATTAAGTAAGGAATGTGAACAATGTTGTTAAAACCATGGTGATCTGGTAGACAGATTACATGGAAGAAGACCAGGAAGAGTAGAGAATGGCTCACTTGAATAAAAAAAAAAAATACCTGTAACAATCTCAGCCCTCAAGGGCTTGGTTTCGTGCCCTTGGGTGAAGCCAGAGACCATGACCTCATAGCCAATGCCAGTTATGAGGCCTCTAAGCTCCAGCTTCCTCTGGGTTCCTGAAAGTGTGAATTCCTGGGGGTCCAGCAGCTTCCCAGAATCCACCACCGTTACTAGAAAGCTGTCAAAGGCATTCTCCGATGCCATCCAGGAAACTGTAAACCCGTAGGGATTAATGTCGGAAATGGTTAGGTTTTCCAGAAGGGGCAGGGCCTCTGAAAGAAGGGAGGAGTGAAAATAACTCAGGTTAACAGCACTGGCTCTGTCAGGATAGCACACATTTTCAAGAATAGTGATAGAAACCCAGTCCATCATCCAATGTGTTATGTGCTCTGAAAGTGAATATTTACTGAGTTTATTTGGTGCAGAAAAAGTTATCACATGTAATGCTTGTAATAAGCCTATGAGGTCAGTATTATTCCCATTTTACAGGTGATAAAACTGAGTTCCCAAGAGGTAGACTGACTTGGACAAAGTCATGAGCTTATAGGAGATAGAGAGAGCAAGGTTTTTAGCTGGGTCTGATTCTGAAGGGCATGGATTTCTCTATACAGATAGACCCCCTTTCTCTACTTTCTTCACATTGCCTTCTGGTCTTGAAGTGAATCAATTTTTTAAAAAAATAAGTATACTTTATTTTTGGTATATTTCATGTGCTTTTATCCTACTTCTAATTCATTTTGAATCAAGTCAATCAGGTTAATTAGTGATATATCCTTATAAGCTGAGATAAAGGGAGGAGATGTTTCTTATGTGTCAAAATTAATAATTTTATGATTAGTAGAAATACTAAGATTTGCTAAATATTTTGCTGTTAATTTTTCCTGGACAAAGTTAGGAAACAAGGACATAGCTGAGTCTTCAGTAAGCTCTGTCATCATCCTCTGTTCATTCATTCATCAAACTTCTGTGTCCCAAGCACTCTGATTTCTCTGGTGCTCAGGAGTCTATTCACACACTGGGATTTCCAAAAGGAGTGAGCTTATATCAGCTAAGTTTCTGTCAATACTTCCTAACTGACAAAGCCTCACATCATTATCCTATTTAATCCTCACAATGACACAGTAAGGTAGGTATTACTACTTGCCCTGACCCCCATTGCATCTAAGGAAACAGGCTAATGACTTATCCAAGATCACACATCTACTAGTTAGCTAATCTGGGATCCAACTGGGTCTTCTGAATCCTCTATTTTCTTTCTACAACCACAGCTGGTGTCTAATTAGTAAACTTCACTGCTGGCATGTCTTGAGGCATAAGCAGGATTAGTGGAGAAGGCGTAGCACCTTCTCTTTAGCTAAAAAAACAAAAAACAAAAAAACTCAACTTTAATAGTGAATGTATCTGTTTTTTATTAGAAGGGTATAGGGGACAGGAATTTTAAACTAGCTGCATCTAGTTCAGAGCCTTTTTTTTTCATTCCCTCTAAATGGAAACTTTCAAAGAGACAAATGACCTAATGCCCAGGGTCTAATCCATGTCTCATGGATTAGACATAAAGAAAGATGTTTTAAAAACAAAGCATTTGATGACTGAATAGGTGAATGAGTGCCCTCGTCCCTTAAGCAGAGATTTAAATTTTGCTGCAGTTTGGACTTCCTGTACTTATTTTGAAACATTTGGTGTTTATCTTGAGGCATTTTTTTTCCATGTAAAGATCTCTCAAGAGTCATAACTCTATCAAAGGCAAAGATGAAATCACTTATACTGTGCAAACAGTCCTCTTCGTCTGTGAGACAAGGGTCTCAAATTCTGTTGCTGGTTTTGTTTAGATAAATGGCGTCTCTCTTTGATAGCTGGCCTCTTTGCACCTCCATGCCATCAAAATGGTGAATTTCTATGAAAGTGAAGGCGTTCAGGCTAATTAGTCAATCAAGGGCTTGTTATTTAAAAGTCCCTCCTGTTCCATTTTTTTCGTGTTTTATACGCTTTTTAAAAAACACAGAGTCTTTTCATATCATGGATTAGCTGGGACAATGCTGTAACTGGATCTTGGATTAGCAAGATCAGCTCTCCCAGGTTTCCTTTCTTCTCTCTATTCTGTGGGAGGTCCTGCAAGAAGCTACAGGCAGGGGCCTGATGAGATCTGTGGCCGTTCCTCCCCTCCTGGGCAGTGAGAGTCTCATCTTGTACTTCTTTCCCCACGCCCCTTAATACATTGCCATGTTTTTCATTAGAAGTTTGATTTGAATGATTTAACTCACATTCGGTAACTGGATTAAAAAAAACATTTTTTGGATCTACATCAAAATACATTCTATGTTCTCTTAAAAATAAGAGGGAAGTCATAATTGCATAGATCTGTTGTTCTAGCTAGGCTTGTTGGTTGCTTTTTCAGAATGCCACTTTTCTCATACTGTTGGGAGACAGTAAAAAGAAACTACTGTCTATATAATGCCTACTGAATTGCCAGGAAGTGAAATTTCATCATCTCTACTTAACCCCTGAGATGAGGCTACTAGAAGCACCTGTCGGTATCCTCTCTCCATACATAAGGAAATTAGAATTTAAACAGAAGTTAATAACTTGCCAAGGTTATGTAGCTAAAAGCTGTGGGAGAGGCTTAGAAACCACATAGGCTTCATCTCAAAATCCTCACTCTTTCAAGACACCATACTTCTCCAATTAAATATTTAACTGTATTTATTAACATATCTTATTTATAGCAATTTAGGCCCTGGGAGAGACCTAATTTAATGTAAAAATCAGATGGCAAAGTGTGTCTCCTGAAAATTATCATTAATAAAAGGCAAGAGACTTCTAAATATTTTCTGAGACTTTTTGGACTACAAATTTAGTAAATTAATACCATTTGGTAACCTTTGCCATTGACAGGATAATAACAGGAAAGAAAATAGAAAACTATTTATATAATTCAAAGAGAAGTTATAAGTCAAGTTTAATGAATGGGCAAGGCTTAATTAAACTTGGAATTTATCTGCCATCCCAGGTTGCATCCACATCAATCTGCTGTAGCTGTAAATTTTAAGAAGAATTATTTTTTTTTAAGAAAATGATTATTATGCTTTTGGAGCAGGTGAACTGCCTTACCTAGCATGATTTATGGACAGAATCTCTGTTCTAAGCCCTTACTTACTTAGGATTCACTCTTTAGTCAGAATCTCTAAAGTGTGGATAAAACAGCTAATAAAACTGGGCACAAAAAACCCCTAAAAGCTTTATACAACTGTTGAGAACATTATCTTTCTTTTCCAAGAGTGGCTGCAAAAGACTTGTCCTTTGCAATAATATCTGCCCTCTCTTTACTTAGAAGATTACAATATGTTATCTTATCTATCGTGAATAATGTTGTATGGCCTAAGTGTACCTAAGTGTACAACCTAAGTGTACAATAATGGCCAAATGGTTAAAGAAAATGTGTATATATAAGCAATGGAATACTTTACAGCCTTAAAAACAAAGGAAATTCTGTCATTTTCAACAACATGGATGACCCCAGAGGACATTATAGTAAGGGAAATAAGCCAGACCCAGAAAGACAAATACTGCATGATCTCACTTATATGCTGAATCTAAGAAAATTGAACTCATAGAAACAGAGAGTAGAATAAAGGTTACCAGGAGTTGAAATGGGAGAGATGGGGAAAGGGAAGATGTTAGTCAGCGTACAAAGTACATTTACACAGAAGAAATACGTTTAGTGATCTATTGCAAAGCATGTAGACCATTGTTATTAATAATGTATATTTCAAAATGGTCAAAGATGAGATTTCAAATGTTCTCATCACAAAAAATAAGTAGGTGAGGTGACTGATATGTCAATTACCTTGATTTAATCATTCCAAAATGTATACCTATATCTAAAAATTACACTGTTCTCTACAAATATATACAATTATTGTATGTCAATTAAAAATAAAGATGTTTACATTTGGTGTAAATACTGTATTTTAGGTTGAATTTTTCTTTAGAATGACTATCTATCTCCTTTTCCCCATTTCCTTGTGTTAGAATTCTAAAAAGACAAGTAAGAACCTCTGACTGAGAGTACCTGTAATGACAAAGGCAGTGAGGGATCTGGTAGAGTCCCCAGCCCAGGTGGTCCCTGCCACACTAACGTCATAGCCAGTGTTCTCCACCAAGCCCGTGATGTGAGCTTGCTGTGCATCTCCTGAGACTGTGAACTGCTGGGATTCATGCAGTGAGTGAGCGTCGCACACACTGATAACAATCTTTGCAAAAAGCCCAGCTTGAGTGGTCCAGGACACGTTGAAGCTGTTGGGAGTAATATTGCTAAAGATTAGCATGCCCAACTTTGGCTCTGGTTCTGAAGGGGAAGTAACATAGCAGAAAGAAAGAGAGAAGCATTATTAGAGGAAGCAGTGGATTTCTCCAGAATGTAGCCATAGAACACGAAAGCATCAATATCGCCAAATATTTGCATAAAATGTAGCATATTAGGTTATGTCTATTCCTGTCTTGATTATGATGACAGAGACTATATTGCTTTCTCTGCAGGTATAGATTTGTGTTCTATGAAAGTATAGACATGACCATTTGCTAATCATATATTAAGAAAAGTAAACAAGCTATTAAAGTGTAGATAGGATTAATGTGAAGGGTATTAAGGCTGCATTTTCTCAAGTTTGTAATGGGGCGCAAGCCCTGTACGATATTCCAAGGAAAGACAGTTTTATGATAAAGAATGCATGGTAAACATGAATATTATATATAATCATAGAGATTCGTGAAGTGGGTTAGCATTTTAAAAGTTCTGACAGGCTGGTTCTGTACCTATTTAATTTTGTTTAGACCATCATTCTATAAATATATTGATCAATGGATATTCTATATGAAGAATATTCCTGGAACATTTCAAGAAGCTGGTGTTCCACTGAGCATTCTTTAGAAAATGCTACTATGGAGTATTCTTATTTAATCTTCTTTTGATCTATTTGGATTGCACAAATTAAAGGCCAGTATCCATACAAGAGAAATCCTTCATAGCATTCAGAAATGCAAATGTGTGCACTGTAGGAAAATCTATATCTCTCCGTAAATGCTGTCAAGGTGAAAATGATTTCCATTAAATATTCCTGGTGGATACAAAAGTTAAAGAAAAATTTAAAGTTAAGCATTGCATTTTCTGATTAGGAAATTTACTTACTGGATAATTTGGAAAGATAAATAGTTCCACTGAGATTAAATATCTCTTCTCTCTTAAAGTCTTGACAATCAGTGATGAGAGCAACTCATTTAATATAAGGGACTTATGTGGTTACTTTCAACTGAGATACACATGGGGCTGGCCTCCTAAGTGTTCATTTATTAAAGGAAACTAATTTTAAAATAAACTTAACACTGACTATTTTTTAGAGACTGGCAACAGTGTTTGAGGACTGAAATATTAAGATCAGGATTTAGAGTTGGAAAGAGGCACACTATTTCTTACAAGAATTTGGGACTTGTTTTGCTTCAGCTCCAAACTTTGGAGGAGAAAAGGGGTTCATTTGGTTACATTTTTCTGCACAACTGCACAGCATAATTCAATGCCATAACACCTCAAAGGATAAAAACAATCTGGTTCAAAGCAGAATATAGCCATAAGTATTGACATGGGATTTCCTATTTATCAATTGGTTTAAGAAGCAATAGATTTCAGCTACAGCATTAGCAAATTTTCTCAACTACACAAATGATAAAATCCTCCAAATGGAACTGTATTCCTTTCCTATATTTTGCCATAGAAGTCATCTCCCAAATTAAGGCTGCATGTAGGGATTCTTCTCAAGCTACGAAAGACTGGCAGTGCCAACACATTCACCATGCAGAATAACCTCCAGCTGTCTCCTAGTAGGCACAACCAAGCTCAAAAGTGAGATGCAAGAATAAAACTGAGAAAGAGAATGGTAATCAGGGTGTGGTCAGTGGTCCATGCAAGTGAGGGACATTTTTCTCTCACTACTTCTATCCCTTTGAAATACTTCCTTGACATGCCGTCTGCTTCCAGGAGGCATACATACTTGAAAAACTTAATGCTCTGAATATTTACCACATGCACCGAGATTTGGACAAGATGATGGCTGGAAAGAAGATGCTGGCACTTAGTGTCAGATATCAGTGAGTGACAAAACATGCTTGACAGAGTACATGTCAAAAAAGAGCAGTCTGTTTATAAGGAATTCAGACAATAAAAGTCTTAAAACAAGATCATTTCATGCAGTTCTGGGTCATGATTTCAGATCTCTTCTCAGCATGCTATGAGGCACTATTTAAAACCTTGGTAGAGAGAGGGTGTAGATTTTTCTGACCAAGGAACCAGAAATGGCATGCACACAACTCTTTGAATATGACATAGGCAAATTTTGATTAGAAAGACCACAGGCAGATGATAGATGAGGGTGGAACTGGAAAAGATTATTCAAGATCAAATGAAAGGATAGTTTAGAAATTCAACCAAAGCAAGTCACTTTAACTCTATACAAACAAACAGAGTAACTCCAGATGTGAGTATTTAGGAGAAAAAAAGGTTGATACTGAAGTTTCTTAATTTGGGGTGAGAGTTATTTTAAAGCTTTATAGCTTTAATTTGGATGACTCTATCAAATTTGAGAAGGATCTGGAGCAACTAGAAGGATGAACAGTGGGTAATTGGTGATTTTTGAAATGCTATTCAGAGGAAGTTCAATGAAAAGTGAAGAACCACTAGTGGAAAATACCTGTGGTTGCTTGGACCATCAGAGTCTGAGCATGCTGCCCTCCAATCAGCCCATGAAGGTGGGTAGTGTAATTAGAAGAAGCTTTGAGGTTGGTGATGACAGAGCTGCGAGATGCCCCAGGCAAAGAGTGCACCATGGTCTCCTGGGGGTGATCAGAATTACTAACTTCTATAAGAAAGCTATCAAAGGCAGCCTCCTGAGCTTTCCATGAGATGGACACACTGCCCCAGGTCACATTTGAGGCAGTGAGGTGGCTAAGGAGAGGTTCAGATACTAAAGCAAGAAAGGAAAAAAATGGATGTGTGTCAATTTAAAATGTCATTATAGAGTAAAAAATCAAAACACATAAGGCTAAATCCATAATGTTTTAGACTTCACCATTTGATAAAAATAAAGTAATTTGCCCTTTGTTGAAAGCCAGTTTGAGTCATGAGAAACAAATGTATATTTGACTAATTTTCTCCTTTAGGTTTTGTTATACTTTAATAATCCAGCAGAGATAGGAACTAGATAATGTTGGCTCTCTGCCTTATGTACAGACCACCCTGATAACAATTTTTTCTCACACAGAATGGGGACAGATTCTCCCTCAACCATGGATGACCTAAATCACAGACAATTTTGATCCTACAATGTCAACCCTTTTATAGGATTTCCCAGACTATGGGTCCTCTTTGTGTGAACTATTAGGAAAAATTCTCATCTGTTTATTCTACTGATACTCTTTCTTTTCTTTCCTTCCTTCCTTCCTTCCTTCCTTCCTTCCTTCCTTCCTTCCTTCCTTCTTTTTCTTTCTTTCTACTTAGTGATGTTTTAGTTTACTTGTCAAGAGAAGACATTGTCTAAAATGTGCTAAGAATGCTATTTTGAATGCACGAGCCTCTCTTTTCTAAATTCACACAGGGTTCTCTTTTGCTACATGGCAGAGAGATTTGGCTTAGTTTACATGCCACAGACACTACAAATTTAAAGTGAGAGCAATTCACTTAAAAAAAAAATCAGGTTCCTTTTTTGAACATGACTATTCTGCTTTTATTCTTGCCATCTAACATTCACTGTTCTGAGGGTAAGGTAGCATGATCCGGTCCTTTCTTTTAAAGGTAGTATTGGAATTGAGGTGATCCGAATGGCATGGCTACCTCCTGCATTCATCAGATGAGCAATCTTTGCTGTTTCTCGTCACTTTCTCAATTAGAAAAAAAGAAACACAACACCATCGACACACGTATTAACTCATTGGGCTATGTGGGTATTATGAGGTCAAAGGCACTAGGAGGAGAAAGACAGTAAGATAACACAAAACATAATTTTAAGACTTCTTTGACTGAGGTAGACATCTTTCCAAGTCAAGAAAAGTTCTCTTATTATATAGCTTTTTAGTTACCAAAGTAGAATTCTTTTCTCCATATTCCATATGGCAATCTGGACCAAACTACATTTTATGTTCCAAATGTCCCAGTCAGTGGTAAATCAGACACATGGTAAATCAGGCAGTCTATTATTCAGGTTGCTGTTGGAAAAGAATTACGTTAAATGGCACTCCAGTCTGGTGTCCTGAGAGAATTAGTGCCCCAAGGCACTACATCCATGGGCAAGGAGGAATGATTTCACCCTGCAAAGAAGACTATGGAGAGAGAGGGTTAGAAATGGGAATGTACATGTACCTGTGGTGGCTGTGGCACTGATGGTTTTGGTCCGGATGCTGGGAGCAAGTCCAGAGAGGTAGACAATAAAATCAGTACTAGGGGGTAGCCCTGAGATGTGGGCAGTTCGCTCAGTACCAGAGATATTATATTCCACTGTCTCCAGCAACCTATTGGAATCAATAATTTCAATGGTAAACGTCTCGAAGATCCCATCGGTAGCTGTCCAGGAGAGATTGAAGCTCTCAGGAGTTATGCCAGAAACATTTAAGTTTCCAATTTCAGGTTCTGTGGCTGAAAAAGGAGGGGGTAGGAGAAAAGAAACAAATAAATTTGAGTTAATTGTTTGGCTGTGTTTTATGATTGAGGTTGTTAATAGAACCATTGCTGAGTAGAGAGATGGGATAGTTCAGGGTTATGATGGCATGAAGCAATGTTACCAGTCAGTGCCAATGAGAGAGAAAAAGTAGTTTAGTTAAAATAAAATGAAAAAAATGAAGGTATGGCAATTAGATTTCTCTATTCCGGGTTGCCACCATGGTCAAGCACTGACTGAGAAGATGTACTGAATGATCTCAGCAGGAACTGATGCATCTTAGTGCGCATGCCTCCAGGAACCCCGCCTCAGGGGTTGTTGGCCACTGGTCAAAAGATATGAGTCCTGGCAGCTTCCAGTCTCCTGAATTGCACTCAGGAGACCAAGATTACTTGGATGCCTTCCACAGACATTCTTTGCTTTAAGGGAGCTCCCATCTATTCAAATGAGGGCTAAATAAGTCTGATGCCATTACTTTCCCAAGGTAGTACCTTGAAGCTTCTGATTTTGTGACTTAAAAGGAATTGCCAATTTCTCAGTGTAATTCTTAATATTATTTTCATACTTCAGACAAGGGCCAGTCATTCTCATATTTTGTTAATATAGCTTGTTCCCTCTTAACTGCTTCTGTGTGGGCAGAAAAGGCTAGTATTGCATTGTCAACCAGGAGAGCCAAGCCAAGACAAGGCAGTTTGGGCAATCCCTTTCAGCCAAGAAGTAACATTTTATCTTGGAGGTGGTCCTGCCAGTGCTTTTCTAAGAAAGAGGAATAAAACATGCAGAAGGCAGGCAGAAGCAGGGTTTGAAAATCTAGTACTATCTCTTTAGCAAGGAGAAAGGCTCCCAGTCTCTGTGACCACCCCAACAGATGTGTTGAGACACAGATCAGATGGGATTATGGCCCCTCCCTTCCCATAGGCCAACTCATCAAAGGCAAGAATATTACTATCACAAATACTGACACCCAAATCACAAGATCTATACGAAAGATTAGAAGTGGTGGGTGATTTTTCTACCTTCTGGATAGGGATGGTTTGCGGGTGTCAGATAAAAGAGTCCCTGGCACATTCAGGGCAGCCTCAGCTGCAGTTTCTAGACATTTCAGGGTCACTGTCCATGTAGTGGTTGCCCGTGTTTAATATTTATGCATCTCCGTGAAAGTTGCTGAAATGATTGAGATTAAAATACAGAGCTATGCTTTTGCTAGAATCAGCTAGGATGTACAGGTTTGACATGAAAGTTTAGTTGCAACCATCAGAATAAAGGGGGCAGTCACATGCAAAACACGTAACAGTCTCTCCTGTGCTTCCAACCCATCAAGATGCATAATCAAGATGAGCAAGGGACAACAGTGTTGGGGGAAGGCTGCTGAAGCCTTTTAACTGGAAAAGAGTGGTGAGTTAACTATAATGCATCCTTCAGTGTATGGGGCCGGAAGTTTGCCATCCAAAGGCCAATACTCCAGAGAGCAACTCTTGATTCAAAGAGCTAAAAGGGTATCAGTTCCTTGACATTCATAGTCTGAGACATTCCTTGCTCCAAATGCTGCTGTGTGTACTTTTGCTAATGAATAGCTTTCTCTTTGGTACAGTCTCCAGTCATAATTGTGTACTTTTTTTTTTTTTTTGGTCTAGCTCTTCACTAATTTGATGCTCTAACAATAATTCAGTATCTAAGAGAATTGCCCGAAGAGGGTAATTCAGTTCTCTTATTACTTGGTGCATTTTGAAGAAACATTTCTTAAATGCAATAACTATAGTACCCATGCCCTTGAGGGATTTAGAGACAGGAAAGCAGCATTTCCAACTAGCAAAAGACTCTCTAAAGTCAATAATCTTTGCTCCACCAGAACTCACATATGGGAAAGGGAAGCTTTTAGTTACATCCAAACTCTGGAGAGGTGAATTAAAACCATCAGATTGATTCCTGAAACAGAAAACCATCATTCAAAAGAGATGTAGTTGAAGGATCAGCCAGGTAAATTATGAGAGAAAGGCTGGGGGATGGGGATGGGGGGATGGGGGGAGTGTAGAGGTCAGAAAGGACATCATCTGAATGTTCACCATTGAGATGGCAAAGGCATCTAGAAAGAGGCACAGCCCACAGGGAGATCTCTGAGCATGCATGACCAGCAGCTAAAGGGCACATGGAAAGGATTAAGTTATGGAGAGAAGCTGACTCCTGGCATGATGTCTTGGAGAGGAAGCAGGGAACCTTGGAGAGAAAGTATTGGCAGGGAGAAGAAGTACCTGTGGAGGCCTCAGCAGAGAGCACTGGTGTTCTATAGCCCTGGATCATCCCATAGATGGAGACTATATAAGGGGTGCCAGCCTTGAGGCCCGGGATGTCCACAGCCCGGAGGCCGCCGGGCACTGTGAGGTTGTGAGCTGCCTCCACCTTGTTGGCCTCCTGCACCTGAATGACAAAGTGCTCATAGGCCAAGTCAGCTGCTGTCCAGTTGAGTCTGAGGCCATCCCAGCCAACCTCAGTCACGGCTAAATCACCCAGCTGGGGGAGCTCTTCTGAAGAAGGACAGAGAGGTGTTTGTCAGTTCTGCAAACCAAAAATGAAGAAACCAAACATCCCACAGCCCAACCTTAAGAAAGAGAGAGGGAAAGAAAGAGAGAGGGAAAGAGAGAGAGAGAGAGAGAGAGAGAGAGAGAGAGAGAGAGAGAGAGAGAGAGAGAGAGAGAGAGAAATATGTATATACATATGTGTATGTATATTTTGGTAATTCCTGATTTCTGGGTATTTGCAATTTGAACTGTGGTACTCTGGTTACCACTTTCTTCAAGAGGTGGAAATGGTCAGAAAGGGGAACATCTGCATCATTTGCACTGCTCATCTTTGAGATGGCAAAGACATTTGCAGCAATGCAGAGGAGGTCTCTGCCATGCATGACCAGCAGTTAAAGTTCACATGGAAAGTGGAATTGTGGGTCAGGGTAAGAGAAGTGGAAATGGTTAAAAGTGCAGACTCTGGAGGTAGATGAAGTTTGGTTAGAATCCCAGCGCTGATATTTGCTAGCTGCGTACTCTTGGGCATGCCACTCAGCTTCTCTCTGAGTCTTACTCTCTTCACCTTTAAATGGAGCTGACAGTACCATTTTGTGAGACTGTGAGATGATAAAATGAAAATATTTATCATCTCCTAGAATCATACCTGATACATAGTGAGTGCCTTGACAAATGGCAGCTTAAAAACATATCACTGTTCAGGTGTTTCCCTTGGAACTTCTTAGTCATGAGAATTATCTGCTTCATTTCATTACTTGAAATTAGAGATCATCTCATTGCTGGCCACAGGCCATCTGCCCAGGTTTATAAAGTATATGCAGTCTCAGGTTTGGACAAGCATGATGCTTTACCTCTGGATTTTTCTCTGCTTTCAGGGATCAAAAGTTATGTCCTAGATTCTTAGCTTTGTTCTTTTCCTCTCACCTTCTGCTGGTACTTTGTGTGTGAGTAAAGAATGGTTACATCACAAAGCAAGGCTGTTTGTGTGAAATGAGTGTGTCTACTTTTAATTAACAGTGATGATGTTTTGCTCAGTAAATGGTGTAGAACTGAAGCTGCTATTAGTTTTTCTACAATGTTTAATGCGGTTGTTATTGCTGATTTGAATTTGGGATATGGAAAAAATCCACTGCTTTGTGGGGTGCTTGTCAGGATTAAAAGCAATCTCTCAGTCACTGTTTTTAAGGTTGAAGTGATCATGGATTAGAGATTAGGGAAGAAAATATCTACAGGGATTTCAACCCCAAAACAGTGGGAGACAGATCACTTTTTCTTGGAAATTCCAGGATTCAGTGCACTGTGAGAATCTGAACCTCCCTTTTAGGGGGGCTATTTTAAAACTTCCACATATAAATTGTGCTTTTCTGAAAGAACTGTGTTGGGTGTATGGATGCAGTCATCCCCATCTTCCTTCCAGGCTCACCAAGAACAGCGGTTTATTTATCTGTCACGTGGTAGGGTTCCTTGGAATATTTCATCTGCAAAAGGAGTTTGCTGCTGAAAACAAAAGTTTTCAGACCATAGATGAGGATGATCATCAGCATCCTATACCCAGATCACACATGACTTCAAAGGCCCTTTTTGCCCTTACTGAGTCTGAAGATATGCCAGAAAACATAGGATGATAACCTGGCCAACTTAAGTATATTATAACATCGCCGTCTTATTTTAGGAATTTTGTGTAGTTTCTAGCTAAGACCAAGCTTATTGGTTATATATAAGCAAGAAAAATAATGTATTTGAATTGGGTGGCATTATCAAAATACAGGCTATATAGCAAAGGGCATGGACTTAGGACCCTGCATAAAAACCCTATCAGCAAAAATTTGGCCCATTTTCCCATAGCTCCCTTTGAAGTTATTTCTAGAAACCTCAAGTATAGTACATAGTTTTCTATAGCTGATGAAGCAGCAGATTTTCAGGGGAAGAATTGAGATGAATTGTCTTTCTCCCTAAATGGAATGAAAAACACTGAAGTCAAATGTAGCTGTCCCTTCTTGGAAATGCCTCTGCTTTGAGTATCTGTTAAGAAGACAGGCTTGGATAATTTCAGCAGAAGATGACTATATTATTTCTAAAGGTTATTATGTAGAATCCTGCCTGTGAGATGAGTGGCTCTGAGGCCAGTAATTTTAAGGTTTTTCCAGAAAGTTCTGATCTTATCCTTGTGCCACAGCCCTATTGTTTGGGCTGGGAGGTAGGATTAACAGTAGTTGACATCTGTCTGGGGACAGAGCGGGGGAGGGGGCACACCTCATCAACAAGGGTACCTGTACGATGCATATTTGTATACCTAACCCTTAACTGTACCCCACAATTTTAAAATAAAAAATATGTTTAAAAAAATCATGACTCAGTTGCTATATGATAGATCTAGCTATTTGCGATGCAATGCTTACTAGATGATGGATACTTTCCTAAGCACTCATATGCACTAATTCATTTATTGCTCATGACAGTGTACCTAAGTAGGGGTATTAGCACTGATGTGAAGGTGAAAAAAGAAGGCCAAGAGTTGTAAATTAATATATCCAAGAATATTCAGCCAGTAAGGTGGAATTCCAACTCAGACCTTCCTGAATTAAAGATTCACGCTGCCTGTCAACCACATTGAGGCAGGATTCTGCCACATGGGGGATATTCTCTGTTCCAGTGACAGGCTTGCTTGTGTCATGTCTGTTGGGAGGAGGGTTGTATACCTGTGATGGCCTCCACAGCTAGGGGTCGAGTGCTGTGGCCTCTGACCTCACCATGCATGCTGATTGTATAAGGAGTGCCAGCCCTGAGGCCTGGGATTTCCACGGAGTGCAGGCTGCCAGGAACTGTGAAATTGTGAGCTGCTTCCAACTGGTCAGCCTCCTGGACCTGAATGATAAACTGGTCATAGGTTCCATCTGGTGTGGTCCAATCCAATCTGAGGGTATCCCAGCTAATCTCAGTCACTGTGAGGTTTCCCAGATCTGGAACCTCCTCTGCATAAGGACATAGAGTTTCTGAGTTACTAAAAAAGGAAATGTCACTCTAGGATTCAGGTAAGATGGCATTTGGCTAAGGTTAGGATGAGTTGTCTGGTTAGTGTTGGTTACAGATGCATGATTTACAGCAGGCGTTGGGCACATCTAATTGTTGGCACTAAAGCCAGGGTTTTTCTATTCAGCCTTTGAGAATGAAAGGTCATTTTAGGAATTGTTCACAAGTTCTATTCTTGAATACAAATAGGACTTTGGGAGAGTCCTTTGGTGTTCTTAAAAGGAGTTCAGAGCTGTTTTTTTCACTTATAAGTTATGCTTTTCAACTTTTTAGATATTGTGACTGAAACTTTCTTTGGAAGAAAAGTCAACTCTCACTTTTGTAAAGAAAGAGTAGGTGGAATTTTCCATGGAACTGGGCTACAACTAGGACTTGGCCAAATAAGGAATATGACATTTAGGAAGCAGGGATGATTCACTGGTATTTCCCCAGTGTGGTAGGGGATGAACCTAGTTCAGAGCAAAGAAGAACGTTGATTCTTACTGAGCAGAGACAGTTGGGATAAAGCGAATTAACAAATTAGTCTAGAATACCTGTCAAGACTTCAACTGAAAGAGGTATTGTGCTAAGGTCTTGAGTGACCCCACGGATGGTGATGGTATAATGAGTGGCTGCTCTGAGCCCCGGCAGGTCCACGGACCTCAGTCCTCCTGGGACCGTGAGGTTCTGGGTTGTCTCTACTTTGTCAGCTTCCTGCACCTGAATGAAAAAGTGCTCATGGGCCCCTTCTGGAGCAGTCCAGTTGAGTTTGAGGGCATCCCAGCCCACCTCAGTCACCATGACCTCTCCCAAACCGGGAGTTTCCCCTGGAGAAGGACAAAGAACTAATTTAGTGATTAAACCACACATCAAGATCCAGGGACTCTGTAACACAAGAATAAGCTTTAGATGACTGCAAAACATGATTTTCTTTAGATAAATACACATCATGCAGCTTCCTAAATTTTAGAAATAAATAAAAAAGAAAGAGATGTGGAAAAATAGTTTTCTAGTCATATTAAACAATTGGGTTCACCATTAATCCCGATGAAGGGATTAATTTTGTGATTTCCCCTTCCTCTTTTGAATAGAGTTCTGTAATATCCCTTAACAGGGGGTAGCCTCTTTTAGAGCTAAGGCCACCTCCACTGAGGCTATATATAGTCACCCAGGCTGGGCTCTGTACAACTCCAAAGGGTGTCGTTTACATGGAGTTAAGTGTTAGAAGGGGCCTTGGGTTGTATAACCTGGAGGCCTGGCTGTCCAGTATTAGACTTCATAGCATTATAACTTGTGGTAGAACAAGCACATTCCAAAGCTACTTGTGTCTGATTATCCTTAAACAATTTCCTGTTGAGTAAAACAAGCTATACAGAGAGAGGTAAGAGGTACCTGTGAAGGCCTCAGCAGAGAGCACTGGTGTTCTATAGCCTTGAATCACCCCATAGATGGAAACTCTATAAGGGGTGCCAGCCTTGAGGCCTGGGAGGTCCACAGACCGAAGGCTGCCGGGCACTGTGAGGTTGTAAGCTGCCTCCACTTTGTTGGCCTCCTGCACCTGAATGACAAAGTGCTCATAGGCCTGGTCAGCTGCCGTCCAGTTGAGTTTGAGGCCATCCCAGCCAACCTCAGTCACGGTAAGGTTTTCCAGTTCAGGGGTTTGTTCTGAATAATGACAGAGATGGGGTCAGTGAAACTATTGCTCAAAATGCTTTGCTTCTGAGAACCCAGGAATGGCAAACCCAATGCCAGTGCAGAAAACCATCGCAGTCCAGGTGCCAAGTTTTACTCACTGCATCCTCTGGTGGTGCGGTCCCCATTAAAACACCAGCAAGAAAACAATACTTATTTCATATTTGGGCTTATCTTTTGGAAATGATATTTTCCTATTTACCAGTTCCTGTGGACTTAGAAAACTCTATACATCTAAGCTAGTGAAGCTCTGGGCCTCAGTTTCTACTGTGGGAAGTGTCTGTCATCATAAACAGGTGGCCCTCAGCTGTTCTTGGGGTCATGGTCTGAGCTGTCCAGCCGTCTGTATTTTGAAACAACTGGCTCCTTTTAGAGTCTATTCCTTTTTGTGCTGCCTCAGTTTCCTCTGGAGGGTCTTTTTTACAGTTTATATAGGGATTTTGTCAGTTTCTAGGGTTCAAATCAGTTTACGCGAATCACAGAAGGAAAATTAACACAGTACTATTAAGTCTGAACTAGGCAGTGAGCTTTTGAAAAATTGTTCCTTACTGGAAAAAAGAAATACTGAACCCCAGAAGAAACAGATCTTATAAAGCTCAACTAAAATCGAATGTACTCCATTCATCTCCTGAACACAGGAAATGCAGTAAAAGTTCACTTATCTGGATCTGCCTAAAGAGAGAAAATTTGCCCAGGGTTGAGCTTAAGTGGACTTTGCATGACCTAGGAAGAAAATAATTTGTTCTGGAAATGGACCCTGTAAACAAGAGAATAGGAACAGCTTTTTAGCTCATTTAAAAGAACAAATCATCTATTTGTATTTATGTCTCATACTGCTAATTTCAAATGAGCCCTATGTGTCCATTAAAGCACACTTCTAACTTGAAAATCTTCACTTGAAATTTAATTGAGGATACCCTTTCAGAGGGGAAAAAATTTCCCTTCCACAGTCTATTCAATTCGGACTTTTCCAGGTTCTGGGGAACATTCTTCCTACTTTTTCATATTGACAAAGCATATACTCCTTCAAATTTCATTTGATCTAGAACAGAGGTCCACAAACTATGACCTGAAGCTCTCAACTGGCTTGCTGCTTATTTTGGTAGTCAGCAACTTAACAAGAGTTTTCACATTTTTTCATGGTTTGCATTTACCCTCTGATCCTTGACAGAAAATGTTTGCAATACCTGATCTTGAATAGCCATCTATAGACTCACTTTACCCAAATTCATGTCCTGAAACTCACACCCAAGTCTCCATAGCAATTCTTAACTACCTAAACATAGTCTCTGTGAGAAAAAGAAGTCCCATAAGTCTAAATCATATATCTGTATCTGGGGAAAGAAAGGAGACTCAATTACCTCTCAATTCACTGGCCCTTGTGAGACCAGGAACAGTGTCCTAGAATATAATAATTATACCCTTGACCTTGGGAGTTGAGCACAAGAAAACCTAGGAGCACATCCTTCTTAAATACTCCAGCAATCCTGATTCATAAGGAGATGCAGGATCAAAACATATCTAAGTGAAAAATGACACTGATCCTAGGGCTCTTTAACTCCCCTTCTTAGCCCATTTTCCTCTTTTTGTCCCTCTGCTGTCCAGAACTACCTGTCAGGAATTTGTCTGACACTGACAACTTATCTGTTGGCGTGAATTAAGTCACTGCCTTTCCTCTGCAGGATCTGTATGTTAAGCTTTACCTCTAATTGTGACATAAAACATTTTTTTTTCTGTGAAAGAAATTTTAGATTCCAGTTTACAAGAGATACGAAGAGAGTTACCTAACTGGGAGAGGGAGGTGATTGTGAGGTGCCCATTAAGCTGTTAGAAGATGAATGGAGAGAGAAGATTCTCACTGGAAAATGTCTCTTTCTGATTAGAAAGAATCTTTGAATCAGTTTTTTAACGTGCCATTGATGCTTTCACACAATGCCCCTCACATCCTGCTAGATCTGTTCATACAATTGATGGAGGGATTTTCACATAATGTCATGTTGTTCGGTAAATAGTAATAGTCATGGTGTTGATACATTTGTCAAAATTTTCGGCTATTCTTCTTTTTGTTTGGCAGGCAGGGGGATAGACAAATCAAGAGAAAGCATTGGCTTATTAGAGAGGAATGCTGTGGCCATATCTGTAGTAAATGTCATTGGTGATCCACCTGGATCCCATCACTAAACAAATAAATAAATAGCAAAATAAATGAAAAGCGCAACTTTCACAAATAAAATCAGTAGGTAGAGTACACTGTTGGTGGGAGTGTAAACTAGTGCAACCTCTGTGGAAAGCAGTGTGGCGATTCCTAAAAGCTCTAAAAATTGACCTTCCATATGACCTTGCAATCCCCCTACTGGGAATATACCCTGAAGAACACAAATCACTCTATAAAAAAGATACCTGCACACGTATGTTTATCGCAGCATTGTTCACAATAGCAAGAACCTGGAAACAACCATGCTGCCCATCAAAAGAGGACTGGATTAAAAAAATGTGGTACATATACACGATGGAATACTACGCAGACATAAAAAAGAACAAAATCATGAATTTCGCTGCAACCTGGATGGAACTAGAGTCTATAATACTGAGTGACCTCTCACAAAAACAAAAATCCGAATATCACATGTTCTCACTCATATAATGGACCTTGAACATCCAATGCAATACTATGAGAAAATGACGGATGGTACTGCGAAACTATGGGGGGGAGGGGGATGGGATTAACAGTAGCAAATATCTGTCGGGGGATGGGAAAACACTTCTTATCTACAGGGTGCCTAAATGAAACGTCATTGTACACCTAACCCTTAACTGTACCCCACAAAACCATAATAAAAAATACTGATTAATGAAAAAAAAAAAAATCAGTAGGTAAATTAAAAGGGGAGGGGTAAGAATTATGAAAGACGGGGGAAAATATGAATAAAAATACAGTAGACAATAGTTGAGGTGGGGACCAAGAGGGTTCACATAAATGTTGACTCTACATTTCAACAGCAAATGACTTGCTGTGGGCTTACTGCCCCAGAAGCCAAGTGTTTCCACTGTAGAGTTCCACACTTCATTTCTTGGTATTCTTGATGAAAAAGGCTGTTGTCTTTTTCTTACAGCTGAGTACCAGAATCTACCCTCTGAGCAATGTCAGTGGGCCTGGGAAATGAGAATTCTGAAATCCCATTTCTGTGCTCACGGTGGGTCAACCATCTGGCCTGGAGGAATTTCTGGCACTGGCAACTTTCAATCTTTAGATTTCTACCATCTTCTAGATAGTAATTACCAAGTGTCAGCTTGCTGAAAACCCATTGTCAGTGTTCACTTATGAAAGAAAGAGTAGTCCTCCCACAGAAGGGGCATGGTCAGATCCAAACCTGATGACCCCAAGTCAAGTGGCCTCTATCTCATCTTGTAGAGATAAGATAATTGATCCTAATTGATCCTTAGCTGCCTTAAAACTTTCAGTGACTCTTTGTAATTATCAGAAATGAAGCTCAAGCCCCTTTGCTGATGTCCCCAATGATATCTCTAACCTCATACCCTACTATTCCCCATGCTGGAACAGTCCTTACTGTTTCTCTACTTGCCCAACCAACTCCTTTTTCAGAACTCAGCCAGTATCACTTCTTCTAAAAAGCCTTCTCTGATGTTCTTTATTCCTTGGCTCAGTCTGTGGTGGGTACCTGCCTCTATGCCTTTGCAGCCTCCCACATGTCCCTTTTTAAAGCAAACAAGGTACATTTTTATAATTTTGTTTTTATAATTTTGTTCTCTCTTTCTTATGGTAATATGCATTATTTCCTGACAAGAGAGGTCTTTATGTTCTATATTTCAGCATCACCTGACTGTAGTAGGCATAAAATAAATATTTATTGGATGGATAAATATTTGAATAAATTCCAGTTTGCTCTATGAGAAAATCAAAATGGTAAATCAGAGCAGAATATTTTCTCTTACTTGTAGCTGTAGCTACAAACAAAATTCCATCTTTTTGCTTCCAAAATTCCTGGGAGTTACTGGGGTATCACTGTTCAGGCTTGTGTGGCTGTGGAAAAATACTTCACTGCCTTTATGTTTCTTCCTATCTTCCTTGCTTTATTTCTCTTACTGCTCACAACCAATTCGTGGCTTTGAACTTAAGCAGGGCTTATTAGCATACAAAAGCAGAGGGAAAGAGGAGAGGAGAGGAGGGTAGGGGAGAAGAGTGAAGGGAAGGAGAGAGGAGGAAAGATGCCTGGCATACATTGACACCATTTTAATGCTAACAGAAAAACACCTACCTTTTTTCCTTTTATCCCTCCTTTCCTCTTTCTTTCTTTTCTTCCTTCCTTTACTATCCAGATTAAGCTGAATTGAAGACTTTCCAGGGGAATGACTTCCATTCCCTTCCCCTTAGTCCTTAAGGAGAGAATTGGTCTGTTCATGGAGAGGTGGAAGGAAAGGACCAGAAAATTCAACAGAAATATGGACTCTGGAGTAGTGGGGTCCCCAAACACTCATGAAGGTCATACTGTGTGCTTGGCTGTGTTTAGGGCACTGGGGATGCAGCCATGGGTAAAGGAGATAGTCCTACATTCAGGCCAGTAAGGGGAGACAGGCCATAGAAATAAGTCAACTATTGCACCACATAACATCAAGAGAGATGAGTTAACGTCAAGGTAGACAAGGAACTCTAGAGCATGAGGAGTGGGTCAGATGGGGGAGCCTTTCCAGACCCTTGGTCAGAGAAGTCCTCAGTTTTGGATGCTACTTGAGCTGAATGAAAAGAGGTAACATGCTTTGGGAGCACTGGAGGCAGAGTGCTGTCCAGGGAACAGGAACAGCCAAGGCCTGAAGTAGGACCAGGCTCCACATGCTTGAAGAAGAATGAGAAGGCCAGGTTGGCCATGGTGAAATGAAAAGGGCATGAATGGTGGGACCACAGTCAGAAAGATGGGAAGGGCTAGATTCTATAGGGCCCTGTAACTCACAAAAGGGTCTTTGGTCCTTATTTTAGGTGTGATGGGTGGTCAGGTTATGTATACTTTTAATACAGTCTTATATCAAGGAAAAGGCTTGCCCCATGGCCCAATTCATGACTACAGCCCTGGAATTCCCTGGGAAAAATGGGACCACCAATTTCCCATCTTTTCTTTAAACTCCACAGACATTGAGTGGCACTTTATAGGCTTCTGCTATGAAGAGGTTCTCGTATTTTATTGACAAAGTAAGCGCAGGAGACTTTGAAAGATGGAATTCAAGAGAGGAAAAGAAATGCTGTCTTCACTAGGGGGAAGTATTCCGCAGACAATGAAGAAGAACCCACAAAAAGAACTTTGCACGTTTTTCCTAAAGAATATCTTTCAATATACAACATGATATCTTTGAAACAGCATTAAGGAAGCATGGTGAGGAAAATAAAATTAGTGAGACTTTAGAATGCCAATATTGGGCTCTTAGATGGAGACAAAGTAATTCCAGCCTGTAAACCTTCTAGCTATTCTTTTCTCCAGTGTAGAAGCTCCAAACTCAAGAGTTCAGGGAGCTAAACCCTTTCCTGCTGAGGTATAGGGCTTCTTCACTGAGAAAGGAGGTAATGTGGGCATAACCAGAAGGTAAAGTAACTGAGATAGAAATGTTTCTTTGATCAAACTCAGGGGAAAGATGAGAGAAGCAGAGGAGGAGGAGGAGAAGGGGGGGTAAGGGAAGAAGGAAGAAAAAGGAGAGGAGAGGAGTGGGGAAGAAGAGGGAGGATAAAGAGAGGAGATTTCTTCCTTCTTGTGTTTCTGATTCGTTTGTTGTCCCTTGATACCTCATAACAAGCTCATGTTTACAAAGCTGAAATGTTCAAATCTCTACTTTAGCTTTATTTTTTCTTGATTCTATTCTCTCCCATACCTTTGATGAAACTACCCCTGCAGAGCATCCTTGACAATCATCTTATAGCTGGATAGGAAGCCATTGATGCACAAAATCAACACAATTGCCCCCCTGGACTCACTTCAGACTTTCTGGCAGGGATTCTTCTTTGCCTATCAAACTTATCTGTTCTCCTTATAAGCAACCAAAACTTTATGTTGATGGCAACATGTTCAGCCAGAAGGCTACCTCTCTCAATCTCACAGCTAAGAGTGAGAAATGTGAGAAGTGATGGGTGAGGGTTCCAGAAAGACTCATCTAGAAAGTACCCCTTTTTTGAAGTTTTGGTCCTCCCTCTCTCATGCTGCCTAGAAAACAGATATGATACATGTACTAGAGCAGCCATGTTGTAACACTGAGGTGACTTTGAGAACAGAAGCCAAAAATTAAAAATGGTGCAATGGAAAGACAGAAGCAGCATGGGTCCATGGAACTACTATGCAATCCATGAGCCACTCAGTTCCAGGTTCATTTTATGAGAAAGAAAACTTCTATCTTTTGTGACTGTGATTTGAGATTTCTGTTGAGGATATTTGTGAATGACAAAGGCTCTGGTAAGGCATTTCCAACTATGCTCATTGTTATATCCTTTTTTCTTCTTATCAAGGATCAGCTAGAGTAACATTTCTGCAATGATACCTTTGATAGCTGCTCCTGATTCCCCCTGATCACTCCTTTCTCTTGACTGAGTTCTGTCTAATATTCTGAATATCTGCTTCCCCAAGGACTGTGAACAGGAACACATGAGTTAACATAGCAGTACTGACTTTGCGACCTACTTTTCAAATATCAGCACAGTACAATATATGCACAGGCATTTAATACATGCTTACTAATTAAATTGAAGGTGAAGACTACTACTTGAAAATCCTGGAAATGTATCATTTGTCACCTATATATCTTAATGTTTTGTAGCCAAAATTGAATGTGCATATTTTTCATATAGGAAGGCACTTTTTTTCTGTCTCTTCAATTAAGCCTCTGAGGAAACATGGCAGCAGGTTCAAGGAGCAGAATGGATGGGCTAGAAGGGACACCGGAGGTCAGGATTAAGCTGTCGTCATGGAAAAACCAGGTTTGCCTCTAAATGACTAAGATAAAACAGAAAATGAAAAGGGTACTGAGGAAGTCTCAAAGGTTCAGGTTTAACCTTGGCAGAAAGCAAAAGACCTGGTATAAAAACGTTTCATGGAAAATAGCCACACAATTTTTATATCCTGGTCACCTTTAAAAGAAATAAAATGAAAAGTTAATTGTTAGGCTAAAGGAGTGAAATAAATAATTTAAAAGATTCTGTGAAACACATATAATTAAAAAAAACAACAAAAGAAAACAAGACAAACACAAACTCAGATGCTTTAAGTTTTCCTAGGAAGAAATATTTTAAAACCTCTATTGCCTGGTCAGGGAACTTTGCTGAATCAGTTAACAAGAGGAAAAAGTTCATACTCAAGAAAGACAAGCAAGTAGCCCTTTCAAAGTGGCATCAAGGGACTTCATGGATGGAGAAAGTAGTATGATTTCCCATCTTACTTTCTCATATGAGTATAACCTGGCTGAGGGGATACCTGGATCTCAGAATCTACAAAGGGTTTGGAGGGAGCTCAGGGGCAGACTCACCGGTGGATGCCTTTAGGCGCGTGGGCTTGCTCTTGTGTCTGCCCTTCTCGGCTGTCAGGAGGATGGTGTATTCCTGCCCGGGTTCCAGACCTCTCAGGACATAGGAGGTAGTGTTTCTTGGAAGCTGCACCTCCACCGGTTGGCCTGCAGGGAGGCTGTAGTTGAGGCGATAGCGGTCAAACTTGGCCAACGGTGTCCTCCAGAGTAGAGTCAGACCAGTCTTCTTAGTTTCAGAAACCCGTAGGTCTTTGGGTGCATCTATGTCTGGGAGGAAACAGAGAGAGGAATACTCTTCAGGCTGTGAGGCAGGGCTGCCTCTGGACTGGAATCCTAGGTCTGCTATAGAGGAGTATCAATGTCAATTTCCTGGTTGTGATATTTTTCTATTTTATGCAAGATGTTACACTTGGGAAAAACTGCATGAAAGACATATGAGGTCACTCTATATGATTTCTCACAACTGCATGTGAATCTACAAGTATCTTGGAACCAAAGATTTTTAAAAATATGCATGCAAATGCCCATTATTGGATCCTGCATAAAGTGAACACTGAATGGTGATCTATGTCCTCTCGATGCAACTGCCTCCCTTTTCCTCACAGTACCTAGGGAGGTAAGGTGGAGGTCGGTGGAGAAGCAGAGGGAGTTTTCTTTTTCTTTTTCTTTTTGCACTATAAAATTTTCAGAAACAACAATAACAACTTGAAGAAGAATCAATGGCCTCAAGCCATCCTTACCCACAGGCTGTGGTCATAGGATACAGTGAGTAAGAGCAGGACCTGAATTTAACTATGGTCCTGCCACTTACAATTTGCTTGACAGACGTACACCATTAGGTGTTTCCTCAGAAGCAAACACCCTAGATGTGTTTTGACTACATAATAGTTTATTGAAAAATGGAATTGTTACCAACTTAAACATGTTGTAGACTTATAAAGCCTGGTTTTAATTCTTCTTCTTCTTCTTCTTCTTCTTTTTTTTTTTAAGTCTCCTGTTCTCCTTTCAGTGTAGAAAGAGTAGCACTGGCATCATTTAGAATCCTGGACCATACTTCAATTTTTGAATTTAGAAACCCAGTCTAGATGGTACTCCAGGTCCCCTCCTCCTCTGGGCTTCTACTTTTTTCTTTTAAAATAGGCTTTAGAGCCAGGCTTGGTGGCTCAGCCTGTAATCCCGCACCTTTGGGAGGCTGAGGTGAGTGGATTGCCTGAGCCCGCGGGTTCGAGACCTGCCTGGGCAGCGAGATCTCATCTCTACGATCAATAAAAAAATCAGCTGGGCATGGTAGCGCACGCCTGTTGTTCCGGCTACTTGGAAGGCTGAGGCAGAAGGATCGCCGGAGCCCCAGGTTGAGGCTGCGGTGGCCGGGAGCGGCCACTGCACTCCAGTCTGGGCAACAGAGTAAGACTCCAACTCAAAAAAATAAAAATAAAAATAAAATAAAATAAAATAGGCTTTAGCCTCACTGGCCCTCTCTTGTCAGTCCAGTGCCAGTTCACTGGGATGGGATTTCCAGGTGTCTCTCACCAGTGGCCGCATTGATGGTTGCTGGATTACTCTCTTTATCCTCCTTCACAGCAGAAACTCCAATTCCATATTCAGTTCCTGGTCTCAGACCTAAGAGAGAATGTGCAGATTCAGATTCAGTCTTCAACTGAAAAGACTTTCAGAGGATGATAAAAAATTGTCCTGAAGTCCAGAATGTCTCACAAACAAACTTACAGTCCAAGTGAGAGGAATTTCTGGGAACTGAATTTATTTCTCTTTCTGGCGGGTTGCAAAATGGGGACATGCCTTTGAGGACACCTGGGGCCAGCTGGCTCAGGCATGCAGAGCTCACCTGTGAGTGTGGTTTTGGTTGTAGCTTGTTGGCTCTTTGGAACGTCGACCTCGGCATGGTCACCCCCAGAGATGGGTGCGTACTTAATTCTGTAACTGTCTATAGCTGCCTTTCCATTCCTCCATTCCAGGGTGATGCTGTTATCTGTCTGGGAGACACGTCGGAGATTCCTGGGAGCATCCAGGCCTGTTTGGGAGAAGAAAGAACATTCACATTAAAAACACCAGGCACCAGGAGAGCAGGAGTCTTGAACAGTTCAAGCAGATACATGAAAGGTACCCGCCCCTGGAGAGAAATGATAAAACCATCGATACACTTGTCTGTCTCCATAACTCATGCACAAATCAAAACAGATACTACAGATTTGGCACCTTTTCTCATTATTGATGCATGTGACACTTTAGTCATTTGTGTTTTTTTCTCAGACTTTGTGCTTAAAGAACAATGCAAAACCTTATAAATAAACTCACAAGTGTAAGAACTGTTCTGTTGTGTTTCCTTACTGTATTCCTAATAATTCACAGCACTCACTATATTGGGCTCTGAAAAAATATTTATTGAATGAACACTTGACACATCAGTATTTTTAAAATAATACCATAGGCTAAGAGGTTAAAATGCTACTTAGTCTATTATGTTTTTTATATACTACTGAATTTTATTTTTAAAATAGTTATTTGAATTTTATTTACTTTTTAAAATTTTTTATTTTAAAGATGTGGGGTACAATTCAGGGTTAGGTATACAAATGTTCATTATGCAGGCACCCTTGTTGATGAGGTGTCCTGCCCTCCCCTGGCAGTTTCCCTCAACTGCCAATCCCATCCCCCTCCTCTGGCAGTTTCCCACTATTGCCATGAATTTTATTTTAACTAGAACTTTTGTCTGAAAATACCAGAGTGGCATCTTCTATGTGTACCCACCACAAAATGCTTTGGAAAGTTATTTGGGGGTACTTCTTTTCTTTGAAATGTTAATTAATAGATGCAATATTTTAAAAAAAATTTAAGGAAGTAGAATTCCCTACTTCATTTTTTTTAACTATAAAATGAGCCTGGTAGACATCCCAACGTGGAATGGGATAGACATCTTTCAATTCTTCCTTTACTATATTAACAGGGGAAGACCCCTTACCTGTTGTGAAGGTCTCTTTGGCAGGATTGCTAGACATGTCAGCTCTGCGTGAGATTAGGGACACCTCATACTCGGTGTCAGGTTTCAGATCCCCAATAGAGTACTGGTTCTCATCCTGTGTGAGATCTATGGTGGTGCGGTCGCCCGGCACGTCTTTGATGCCATAGGTAAGCTCAATGCCGTCAATCTCAGCCAGGGGTTTGAACCAGGTGATCAAAGCAGTAGTGTCTGTGACATCTTTTACCTCAATCTGGCTTGGGGCGTCTAAACCTGTGACAAGTAGAGAGGACAGAGCAGTTTCAGAGGTCAGGCTAGTGTGAGAGGCTGGGCGAGAGAGGGCTTTGCAACTCTCCAGACCTATGGGCATACACTTAGGTGTATACTGACTGACCACTTGACTTTATTTGCCTATCTGAGCCTCAGTTTCCTGTTTGATAAGCTATAAGTGGGGATTCTGGCAGCTGCCTCTAATGGTTTTTGTTTTTCAAAATATTAAGGAAATAAAGCTTACAACATCTAATACAGAGCCTGGCACATGGCTATCACATGAAAAAGGATTGTTCCTTTTTATTATTAGTATTACTATTCTTGTAAGTTGAGGAAACATGCTTAAAGGCTACTTCATTTGAAAAAAAAAAATTGACTTAGTCTCTATAGTTTTTTAATTAGACAAAACTGCCTGGATGGTTGATAACTTTTCCATCAGGATTATGAAGCAGGAAAGTGACAGTGTATGGAAACTTATATTTTGATGAAGCGAATTCAGGCAAGAAAGTCATTGCCATCTCAAACCTTGTCTATTTTTTTAAGACTCGTCTTGGCTTTTTCTGCCCCACCCACTCCTGTGTTTCGAACTCTGATAGCATGCTGCTCAGAGTTTTGGGAATACACTGTGCCATTGGTTACTAGCTGGTCTCTGCTCATGCTGTTCTTGTGTTGTTCTTGTTGTTTTTTCACCTGAGACTTCTCCCTCACCCTTTCCAAAACTCTTCTGTTCATCCTTTAGAATCTCACTTACATATCACCTCCAAACAAAAAATCTTCTTTGACCTTGCTGCAATCTGGTAAACACATATTCTCTCCCTGTGGATGCTGCTGTCCTTAAAGAGCACTCTAATATTGTACCTTTCTCACCGTTCTGTAACAGATTTCTCTACAGTTTGAGTCAATTTAGATGGGGTCATTCATTCATGCATTAATTGAGTGGGTCTTTGGTCTTTCTTAATACAAGCATAGAGACAGGCACATATTAGGCATCCAGTAAATGTTTCTTTCCTCTTCTTTTGATAGCTAAGTTTGTGTTTTCAAGCAATGATTCAGTAAAAAATATCAAACAATAGGAACTTGGCTTTATGCAGGGAATGAGAAGGAAGAATAATTCATAGTCAATGATGAGAAAGCTGCAGTCTATTTTTTGAAGTCTAAATGTTGATTCATCAGTCTTAGCTCACAGATGATAAACTCATAAAACACACAACAAAAATGATGCTAAAAAAATGACAGTGAAGCTGCCTGTCCTATATTCTTATAGTTGCAAGCAATATCTAAACCATACCTACTGCCTTCTTTAGCAACCTCTTCATTAAATAAGTTGGCATTCAATCAAGGACACCAATATCTTTCTAGATTTGGGGCCCTCAAATCACAAAAACTAACATCACTCATGCTTATCATATGCAAGCAGGGTGCTTTGTTATTTATGTCTTAACTTGTATGATATCTCCCAAGGAGGAAAAAAATATTCTAGATGCTGGATCTGAAGCTTAAAGAAATGGACTTTTCCAAGCTGTTGGTGAATGCTGAAGATAGAATTCAAACTCAAACCTGATTGTCTCCAAAGCCTGTGCTCTTTTCTTCCTATATGCCTCTCAAAAATATTCATGTATCAAAAATAGGTATAATACAATGTCTATGTGGATGCCAGAGAGAAGGAACCAAATGTGTTTTGCACTAAAATTTAAGGCCCTTTAAAAGTGGGAAAAGTTCAGGCATATCAGCAAAACTAAAGGTAAATATCTATCCCTTAATGTTGATATTTATGTGATTATGGAATTTCAAAGTTAGGATGTTTGTCCTGAAATACAAAAAATAAAGCAGCCATTTCCCTATTTTACTTTATTTTATTTTATATTTTTTGAGTTGAAGTCTCACTCCGTTGCCCAGGCTAGCGTGCAGGGTCATGTTCACAGTCACGCCAGTGTCGACCTGCTGGGCTCCAGTGATCCTTCAAAGGACAAGTGAAAAAAATATCTTTTGTATTTTCAGTGTACCTTCTCTACAGCAAATAAGCATATTTTTTATGTCTTCCTGGTGATCTAATGATTTTTTTTTCCTGTTGGTACCTGCTTGCTACCTACCACAGAGAGATGTCAGGATGATGAAAAACACTTGCTTACGAAAGAGAAAATCCTATGAACTGGCTCTGAGTTAGGCAAAATGTGCAAATATTTAAATGCAAAATGTTCTTTCTTGTCATTAACAGATTTAACTTTTCCAACAACCCCCTGCCAAGAAAAGTCAATTCCTTAAAGAGTTGGCACACATGTTATCTTGAAGAAAATAATGAGGGGTTTCCTATATGGCAATATAAAATTATTTTCTTTCTTTCTTCTTTTTTCTTTAAAAAATTTTGTGCCCTGGTGTAACAGAACAGTTCCAAATCCAGATCTTTTTATCACCAAATGATCTAGTAGTACTAAATCCTATTCTACCCCAAGAAGTTTTGACCTCATTAGTAGTGAGAAAAATTTTATTTTGTTTCCTGTTGAAGACATGGAATCAAAATTCTGGCTAAACCAGAGACAAGTCAATGCTAGTGTTAATGGAGTTAATGTTATAAAACCTCCCGGGCTTAAAGTTGTAGTCCTAATAGTATTAACCGTGTCAGTTAAAGCGCTTCAACTTCTCCAAGCTTCAGTTTCTACTCTTGAATAGTATCCCTGCCTATGCCTCATAGAACCGGGTGCTAAGATTAAATTAGATTATGTGGTAGAGAATTTGCAATGGCCTCAATTATTTATCTCCCTGTATCCATGACCTTTTAAAATGTGGCTTTGAAACTCTTTTCATCAAGAGATGGATCAGTTTTTCCCCCTTAAATATGAACTGGGCTTGGGATTTGCTTAGATAGAAGTGGTCTAATGCCAGTTTTGAGCTCACACAACAGCCATGTGAACAGGGCCAGGCTAGCATACTGGGGGATGAGAGACCTTGTGGAGCAGAAAGTCACCATCCTGGCTGAGGTCATCTAGGCTCAATCACACAGCAGGAGTGAGCCCAGTAAGAACTGACAAACTGCTCAGCTGAGTCCAATCCCAAGTCACCAAACTGAAAAATTATTATTTTAAGTTACTACATTTGAGGTTTTTTTTAATGTAGCAAAAGCAAATTGATACAGATACTATATAAGAGTGGATCAACTAGAAGTGCTATGAGATGCAATCAGCTTTGTCATTGTATTAGTGGTGTTAAAAAGGTGCTACTCACGGGTAGTGGTCACCTTCTTTAGGCCAGGACCCCGGGTATTGTTCTTCACAATGTGCAGAGATATCTCATACTCTTGCCCAGGAGCTAGACCAGTTTGTCGGTACGAGGTCTCTGGCCTCCTCAGGCTTTTGGTGATCTCTTCCTCATCTTCTTTATTCTGAAAGATAGAGACAGCTTGGCAAGACTTAGAGGAGGTATCAGTCTCTTCATTTGTGTGATTCAATCATTCTGCATTCATTCATTCCTCTTTTATTCTATCTTCTATCCATTAGGCACTTACTATGTATCAGATCAGTATGTTAGGTGCTGAGGATACAGAGATGATAAAGACATTTCTCAAGTTTGTTTCTCCTCTTTTAGACCTCTATTTACCCCTATGACACCCAGGTCAAATGACAGAAAGGAGTTCTGAAGGTACAACCTCAAACCCCCTTTGATAGGAAGGACTGCATCAGAGAAGTAGGGTGATTGTTCTATAGTTACACAGACAGTGTTTAAAAAACGTCAAACAAGCCAGGCTCGGTGGTTCAGCCTGTAATCCCCACGCCTTTGGGAGGCTGAGGTGAGTGGATTGCCTGAGCCCACGGGTCTGAGACCCGCCTGGGCAGCGAGACCTCATCTCTACAATAAATCAAAAAAATCAGCCGGGCGTGGTAGCACATGCCTATAATTCTGGCTACTCGGAAGGCAGAGGTGGAAGGATAGCTGGAGCCCAGCAGGCAAGGCTGCGATGGCCGGGAGCGGCCACTGCACTCCAGTCCAGGTGACTGAGTGAGACTCCAACTCAAAAAAAAAAAAAAAAAAGGTCAAACATACACCTGTTGTATGACATAGCCTTTCCACTCCTAGGTAGTATCTAAGATTTAAAAAAAAAAATATGATTTATATCCACATTTTCATGGCAACTTTATTTCTAAAAGCCTAGATTGTGGCTAATTTAAGCCTGGGCTTAAATTCAGAGAGCAGTTTTCTTGCCTTCCATGTGCTTTTGGGCCTGGAGAGTAGTTGCTTAAACCTTGGATATGCCTGGAGGAATTTTGAGGTAGACACCATTTCTTCTCTTTTTTGCCTCTGAGTAGAGAGTTGTAAGCTGAAGGGCAATTGGAATCTTGACATGACTTAACACTTATTTGTCTAGGCTCTTAGCTCTAATTGCTACATTTACTGACTTATTAAAATTAGGGAGAAAACTAAGGTCACTTAAAATATAACTATAAACACATGAGGTGCTAATTGGAGCCTTGTCCTTCACTGAAAGTTAAGGAAATTGAGTTGATATGACTAGTCTGCAAAACCCTTTGACCATCTTTCAGATCCTTGGGGTCAAATACAGCCACTTCTTTGTGCTCCTTACCATATTCCGGAAGATGATCTCCCACGTTTCAAAAGCAATATCTAGGGGATCCCACTCGACCTCCACAGATGTCTCCTTGATGGACTTGAACTTTAGGCCTTCGGGTGCAGGCAAGTCTATAAGGAACAGCACAAACAGAACATAATAAGCACAGGGCAGGTATGTGGTATGCAAGTCACATACCCATGATTCTGTTAAACCCCAGGTGGATGCTGTTACAGTCGGGGTTGACAACCAGAGCTGGAGTCACTTTAGAGATTCTTCTCATCTACTGTGTGGCAGGGTAAAAATTAATATTGGAAGCAACTGTATGATTAAATATTGACAATTTCATGTGGTTAAGCCTAAAATAAGCACAGACTTTGGAATTAGATAGACTTGGGTAGAATAAGCTCTGCCATCACTAACAAAATTCACCAAGCCTCAGCTTCTTCACCTGGGAGAAGGAGGTAAGTATGTCTGCCTTTCAGGAATGCACTGAGGATTGAGGGAATATATTCCCTGTAGACTGCTGGGTCTGCTTCCTGGCATGTAGTACAAGTTTAATAAAGGACAGCCAATATTATTATTACTAAGCAAGAAAGGGCCAATTTCTAGGTACAGTTTGCTTTTCAGGTATTAAGGTAATTATACTGAAAAACTTTTAAACCATAATGTTTCCACTTAAAAAAATAGGACATTCCACTGAAAGGTAGTAGAATGGTTAAGAGCATAAAGTTGTCAGACTGTCAGGGTTAAAGTCTTACCTCTATCACTTGTTAGCTGTGTGATTTGGGATGAGATGCTTAACCATTCAGAGTCTCAGTTTCCTCAACTGTAAAATGGGCTTAACAATAGTTTCTATCTCATAAGGTCAAATGAATTAGTATATGTAGAGTGCTTAAAACAGTGTTTGATGCATAGCAAACACTTGTTAAGTGCTACCTGTAATGATTCTCTACAGCAGGAAGGATGTAGAAGAGTAAGGAGGGGATTTTATAGAAATTTCTTGAAGAATATACCCAATGGACTCAACTGAGTTCCAGGTGCTTAACTGGTGTAAGCACAACTCTAGGGTTGTAGGAGCCAAGACAAGGGAGGGTTGTGTGCTAGGTGGGTTGAGGGCAGGTGAGGTTGCCCAATAGAGTTCTGTTCACTCACAGGTGGCCACCCTGGCACTGACGGGAATGCTCCTCTTGTTCTCAAGGATGGCGAACACGCGGATAAAGTACTCCACACCAGGCTCCAGCTCCCGGATGGTGGTGGATGTCTGGTCCCCAGGCACGCGAAACTGCATTTCCAGGCCGCCCACGTGGGTGGGTGTATACAAGATGAGGTACTCTGTGACTCGCATCTCATTGTCCCAGGCCAGGTTGACGGTCTCTTCTGTCACTTCTGTCACAATGAGGTCTTTGGGAGGGGACACTGGTAGAAATAAGAAGGATCATCTGGGTCAAAAATGTGCTCTACAAAATCCCACTAGGTTTGTTTCCTTTGATCTGTCTTCTACTGTCAGCCACAGAGGTCTGAAAGTTTCCCCCTTGAAATTCAGCTTCTATTTACTCTAAAAGGCAGAACACATCAAGACTATTTTTGAAACCTGTGGTGGTCCATCCATTAGTCTATCACCTTTAAGCTGAAGTCTCAGTTTAACAGTGTGGTCTTCAGACTCCTTCTACTTCTCCACTGTCTGGGTTTTAGGTCAAATCCAGTCCACTGGCATTGGAAAGTGCAGTCTCTGCTCTGAACTTTGATCTCTGCTCTGAACTTTGAGCAACCCATCCTTAGAAATGGAAGGGCATTTTGGGCTCATCTGGTTCAACTCTTTCATTTTGTATGTGCATGAGACAGAGGGACCTGTCTGTGTTTGCTCACTTTACTAGGTTTAGAACTCACCTCTTCCCTGCGTGCCTGGCATTCTTTCCAGTCAGGCTTCTCTGCCTCAGTCACATTAAACAAACAGTCATTTATTTATTCCTAACCACTGATTGCTTCAATAGAGGGTGAAATTCTACATATGATAAGTATACCATGGTAGATGGGGTAAGTACAAAGATGATTCTCATTAGACATGAGCATTATTGTTCCTTTCTGTGTTTTTATTTAACCAGTGTTTACTGAACACTTAACTATCTACCAGGCCCTGTACTGACTGCTGAAAACAGTGCTCTTTTAAGGAGCTTATGGGCCTTGGGATAAAAACAAAAAAACAAAACACACAAAAAAGTAATGAAAGACAATTAGGAGACAGGTCTACCTCGCAGATGACAGGCTTTCAGTCTTTAGCTGAGTGTGCATTTAAAGCAGTTGGATTTATGTAATCTCATCATCTGTTTAATTTAGCTGAATGTTTACTTCCATGCAAATAGAGATATCTTGTTTACTGTTGATTTTACGTCAGTGGAGAGTAAGAAGGGAGGTTGATGTTTAGCAAAAGGGAAGTTATCACTTCATCTACTTCATTTTGGGCACTAGATGTTAGACTCAAGATAGATGACTTAGGCAGACTCAAACATCAACTCTGTGATATATTAGTTGCATGTCCCTGGGACAATTGCATTACCTGTCTGAGACTTTGAGCCCTCAAATAGGTAGTCCTGTAACAAATGAATGACCAGGACCCCTCAAAGAATCAGTGTGTGTGTGTTTAATAGAAATATATTAATACACACAAAGAATCACCGTGTATGTATGTGTTTATAAACATGCACACAGTTTTCCAGCACATACCAGGTGTACACCCCATCATGGCCATCACTGAGTGGTCTGCACACTGGTACTCACCCACTGAGCAGTCTTCCCCCGTGTAGCCTTCATTGCAGATGCAGCGGCCAGAGACACATTGCCCCCAGTTACTGCAGTCATTGGGGCAAGAGCGCTGCCCGCAGTCCAGGCCTGTGAAGCCCTCGTGGCAGATGCACTGGCCATCTACACAGTGGCCCTGGCCATGACAGTCGCTGGGACACCTTTGTTCCTTGCAGTCTTTGCCCATGAAACCTTCATGGCAAACGCATTGCCCGTTCACACAGCGCCCCCGACCATGGCAATCATTTGGACAGGACAGTTCTGCGCAGTCGGGGCCAGCAAAGCCATCCTCACACACGCACTGCCCATCCACACAGCGCCCCCGGTTGCTGCAGTCCCTGGGACATCGGCGATCTCGACAGTCCTCTCCAGTGTAGTCATCATCGCAGACGCACATGCCATTCACACAGCGGCCATGCTGGTGACAGTCATTGGGGCAGCTCATATCACTGCAGTCATAGCCCTTGAAGCCTTGCTCACACATGCACTTGCCCTGGACACAGCGGCCCCGGCTGTGACAGTCATTGGGGCACCGCAGCTGGCTGCAGTCCTGCCCAGTGTAGCCTTCATCACACACACACTGCCCATTGACACAGCGGCCATGGCCACTGCAGCCATTGGGACACTTGAGTTCCCCACAGTTGACTCCTGTGAAGCCATCGTCACACTCACACCGCCCGTTCACACAGCGGCCGTGGTTGTGACAATCGGCAGGACATCTCTTCTCACTGCAGTCTGCACCGGCGAAGCCCTCATAGCACACGCACTGCCCCTCCTCGCACCGGCCCTGGCCATGGCAGGCATGTGGGCAGGTGAGTTTGCCACAGTCCTCGCCTGTGAAGCCTTCTTCACAGTAGCAGGTGCCGTTGACGCAGCGGCCCCGGTCGAAGCAGTCATTGGGGCAGATGAGCTCACTGCAGTCTTCACCCGTGAAGCCCTCATCACACACACACTCATTCTCCACACACCGCCCACGGTTGTGGCAGTTGTTGAGACACAGGGGCTCATTGCAGTTGTCGCCAGCAAAGCCATCGTGGCATACACACTGGCCGTCAACACATGTGCCGTGATCTGGGCTGCAGGGTACCGGGCAGATCTCCTGGCTGCAGTCAGCTCCCGTGTAGCCTTCGAAACAGATACAGGACCCATCCACACACCTGCCCTGATCATTACAATCGCTGGGGCAGGCAAGCTGGCTGCAGTCCTCACCGGTAAAGCCCTCGTCACAGATGCACTGCCCATCGAGGCACTGGCCTTGAAAGTGACAGTTGCCTGGACATTCAGGCTCAGAGCAGTTGGGGCCTTTCCAGCCAGGTTCACAGACACAGCCACATCCTTCAGTGCTGAAGTTGCCCCGGCCACTGCACAAGGGCCTGGTGTCCACAGGGGCTACAAGGAAGAGGATAGAAACTCTCAGCAGAGCTCAAGTAGCCGAGTTTTTCAGCATCTACCTGAAACATCCAGGTTCAAATTCAGCCAGAGGATGGATGCACCCTTGGGCTCCATCTGGCTTGAGAATCAGTTGTTTAGTGTATGAAATCAGATGGGATTCATATCCAGTTACATCAGGTGGGAACTCATAACCTATACTATACTCCCTCAAATTATAGACTTGAATGTAAAGACAGTGTGTGGTTAGCATATAGGGACATATGAATGTATATTGCCACCGCTGGGGAGAAGATCCATAGTTTTTGTCACATTTTCAAGAAGTCTTACGATTCCTGTGATTAGGAGTCATTGCCTTGTGGAATGCATTATGCTGGACTATGATGCAATTCTCTAGTGCTGAGTCAAGGGCAGGCACGTAAGAAATGCCCAAGAAACAGTGGTTGGACTGAACTGAATTCTGACTTTTTGAGTCAATAGCTGTGCCACATTTGGGAAGGGATTTAGATTTTTAGAAGCCCATAGGTCAAGTGCAACCAATAGCCCACTTCCCTGGGGTACAAATAGAGGTAATAAAAACATTGAGAGCTTACTCATTGTTATTTTCTCTGTTTTCTCTTCCAAAGTGCGTTTTGGGTTGACTCAAGTTGGTATGTAGGTTCACGTGACCAAAACTTTCTAGTTTTTCCTAATTAAATGAGGCAGTTAGAGTAGCCTTCTAATTCCAGTAGGACACCTTTCAGTTTGGCTCTGTCCTCAGGAAACTCTCTTTTTTCCCTGCTATCCTGAAGGCTCTGTGGTGGGTTGACCTGAGGAAAGTAGGGTCAAGGCTGACAGTATTTCAGTTCTGTGAGGCCTAAATATTATTTTGGCTCAATTTGGAGAAGTCAGTGGTCTAACCTCCATGGAACCTAGAGAGAAAAAAACTCACTTCTATAGTATCTGTACCTAGATACAGTTGTATTAATATATTTTATCTCCTTTTTTAAAAAGCTGGTTTGTGAGCCGGGCTCGGTGGCTCAGCCTGTAATCCCACGCCTTTGGGAGGCTGAGGTGAGTGGATTGCCTGAGCCTGCGGGTTCGAGACCCACCTGGGCAGCGAGACCTCATCTCCACAATAAATAAAAAAATCAGCCGGGCATGGTAGCGCATGCCTGTAATTCCGGCTACTTGGAAGGCTGAGGCGGATAAGAATACATTTACTGTGTATTCTTATCTGTATTTTGCCAGAAAGTTGACAGAAGTGGAAGATAAACTAATTTATGCATAAAGAAAACCTTTTTTTTGTTTGTTTTTTTGAGTTGGAGTCTCACTTCTTTGCCCAGGCTGGAGTGTAGTGGCACGCACGCTCACAGTCACCCCAGCATCGACCCGCTAGGCTCCGGGGATCCTTCTACCTCAGTCTTTCAAGTAGCCAGCACTACAGACGTGTGCTACCATGCCCAGCTATTTTTTAATTTTACTGTAGAGACGAGGTCTCGCCAAGTTGCCCGGAATGGTCTCGAACCCACGGGCTCAGGCAATCCACTTGCCTCGGCCTCCCAAAGAGCTGGGATTACAGGCTGAGCCACCAAGCCCGGCCAACTTTTTAAATTGCCATCAAAAACTAGAACATGTCCTGCAGAACCATAAATCTAGTTCAGTTAGGGTAGTTAAGTTTCCTCTTGAAATAATTATCAGAGTACTTTTTGGTAATTTTTTTTTTCTGAGTGGCAGAAACAGAGATTTTCATATTTGATCTGGAGGTGTTGAAACTCCTGTAGCTCTATTGACTTTAGGGAATATAGATGACATAATTTCAAAGCAGCAAAATTCCTTAAGATGGGATGCACATGGACACAGGGCCTCAATGAGGAGTATGAGACACATAGGCATGTGCAAATCCCCTATCTCATTACTCTTTGTGAAACTAGTTGTTTAGTTCCTTTGAGTCTCAGTTCTTAGATCTGCAGAAGAGTGTTAAACATTATCTTAAAGGGTAGCTGCGAGTATTAAATGAGATAATAATGGTAATGCCTGGTACATCCAGGGGACTTAATTCATGACTGTGATCATTATCACCATTGCTATTAGATTGGAATATCTTTTCCAGTTCTCCCAGACTCAGCACCCCTGCAGGCAGCATTGTGCATTTTTAAGAATACTGGAAAGTGTTCTTACAAACTTGGACACTCATTCCAAGACCTTGAGAAATTCCACCCTCCTTCTGGGCCTCTGTTTCCCTATTTATATAATGAAGTGATGAGACTTCATCAGTACTTATCAGAGAGTGTTCTTGGGGGCAGAAATTTTATGGTATAGTCATAGGTTTGGGGGTAGAGAATGGACAGAGTCCATGGTCAAATCAGTTTTAGAAGCTTATAAAAAATAAGAAAAAAATGAAAGTGAAATAGTGTGCTTCAAAGTAGGACTTCTTAGAGGCCTGAAAATGCCTCTGAGAAATATTTGTCATCATGACTCCTCTAAGTAAGAGAGAGAAATGGCTACATTCTCTACATTCATTTGACCATAAAAATCTCTTTGTGGTTGACACTCTGTGAGACTACTTTACCCAGGAACCCACTGATGGTCTACTATGCTCATCATAATTTCTCCCTTGCATACAGTGAGAGGGCCAGCTCTTACCTTCAGCAGGCTGGAGACAGCAGCCAGCACCTGCAGTGCATTGCTCCCGCAGGGAAGACACCAGGCTCTCCAGCTCCTCCAACCTGCTCAGGAGCTCCTTGACATCTGGGGCCGCGGCACAGCCACAGGCCTGGCGGGGGATGTTGATGCGGTGGGTGAAGACAATCTGGTTTTCCCCATCCACTGTGTGCTCCTGGAAGTTTTCACTGGGCTCTGAGGGTGGGGCCAGGTCTTTCTCCCCACTGGTTGATTCCAGATCCACCGCACACTGGGATCCCACCGGCAACTTGATGTTATAGACATGATTAAATACTACCGGCTGATTTTCCTCCGGCAGGGTGATGTTCACCCCACTCTGCCGCTTGTGACGGATTAGTCTCTTCAGAACCCCACCTTCAGTAGAGAGGGTGAGCAAAGCTAGACAGATGCCCGCCAACAGCCAGGTCACAGCCCCCATGGTGGAGGTGGGTTTGGCTGTGTGTTTCTGGAGTTCTAGATCCTAGAGTGTCTCACTCTTGACAGAATTGGGGATTTAGAAACACAGAGAAGAATCCAAATTAGTTGTCTCTGATCTTCCTGAAAGAATTATCCTCTAAAGTAAACAAAGGAAAATAACATATGAGTATCTACTACTAAAGGAATCTATTTTGATTTTACATTCCTGTTTGAAGCTCCCCTGATAATCTTTCATTAAATATTGTTATACTGTTTCCCCTGATAATCTTTCATTATATACTGTGATTAAACAATGATGTCTAAAAGAACTTTGCAGTCTTGAAGGAAGGACTCCACTCAGTATTTAACTTCTGAAAATTTAGGGAGACAGCAAAGTATAGAGGAAAGAGCGACCCATAGGGCTACAGCAGACAGGGGTTTGTAGTTCTTTTCTAGCTTTGGGCCCTTGAGTAAGTTGTATAACTTTTCTTTGCCTTATTTCACTTTCTGTATCATGAAGGTCATAATGGCTAATGACAGACTTAAAATAATTATGTAGGCTGGGCATGGTGGCTCACACCTGTAATCTCAGTACTTTGGGAGACTGAGGCAGAAGGATTGTTTGAGCCCAGGAGTTCAAGGCCAGCCTGGGAAACATAGTAAGATCCAGAAAATTTTTTAAAAATTAGCTGGGTTTGGTAGCATGCATCTGTAGCTCTAACTACTTGGGAGGCTAAGGTGGCAGGATCACCTGAGTTCAGGAGGTTGAGGCCACAGTGAGCCTGAGGCTGCGGTAAGCTGTGATCTTGCCACTGCACTCCAGCCTGAGTGACAGAATGAGACCCTGACTCAAAAGAAAACAAAACTAAAATAATTATGTGGAAATAATTTGTGCATCCATTAATTTCTTTAATATTTACTAGCTAAGCCCTCTGAGTGAATTATTATAGAGATATAAAGGCCCTAATCCCAGTAGATGTTCAGTAACTTTTGCCTCTTATTATTGATCCTCAAAACTGAGTTCAACACCATCTGCTGGTTCTTTTCTGTCATGAAATGCAGAGGTTAAAATAAGGAACCCCAGAAAGCAAACTGAGTTTTAATCACAGCTGTGTTTCTTACTAGCTCTATTTCTCTTGTCCTCAGTTTCCCTTCTCCTTGATGTATTTCCAAAACCTTCAAAAGTACAGTTTTTAGAAAAGCCTGATAAAGTATTCCTGGATCAGTCATCCAAACTGAGTTTCACAGCAAGAGATGGTTCAGAAAGGATGTCCATGAGCCCAACAAATACTTATAGAATTCATGCTGAGTTTTCCACAATAATCAGAGTTCTATAGGTGTTAGAAATAAATATAAGATGAAGTGCATATCCCCCAGAGGACATAACAATAGACTTAAGAAGAAAATAGAATCATCCATTCAATACTTAGGGGACAAAGCAAGAAAAAAGTGATAGGATTTATTTTGTGGTATAGAATATAACTGCATATGGAGTTTTAAAAAAAAGGAATTGTCAAGGAGTGGTAAGGCATAGCTTATTGGAAATGATGACATTTTAGCTGAATGTTAAATCGTGAGAAGGATTAAATGGAAACAGTGTGGAGGAGAATATGCTACCAGAAAGCAGTTCTCACCTTACTCAATTGTCTTCTTCATCTGTCTTATGACTATTCATCTCTATGGGCAATCAGGTAGCAGAGGTAGAAAGGAGAATTGTCAAAGGTGGTTGAGAAATTGAGTAAAGACACAAAGACATGGCTAACCTTTAGGGAGTTACAATATAATGGTATGAAGTCACTAATGGTTCTCTTTAAGAAGGAAATACACCTGCATGTAGTTAAAAAATAATTGCAGAACTATTGGTTTTTAATAATTCATCTCACAAGTTGACATTTCCCTATGCCTATGCTATTCTTAAATTTGCGCATTCTAAGGTCACTATTTATGCCCATTAGCTGTAGTATTTGGATTGCTTAGCCTATAAGAAGGTTTCTAACTTCTTTTCCAGAAAGATTTTATCCAAATGATGGAATGTAACAATGTGATCCCAACTAACCACCTCTTTTTTGATAATAGAAAGGCTTGGCAAAACCGAAAGAGGAATTGTGGCAGGGAAAAATTAACTGAGAAGCATTTCTATATGACTGAACAGGGATCTGGAAACCAAGAAAGCAACAGCTGTGCATTTAACCTTCCATCTATATCTTCACCACATCTTAATCATATTCATATTGATATTTTACCAATTATCCATATAATGTATCCTTAGGGCATCTAAGCCTGGTTAGCCCAAAAGCACACAAACAAACAAGCACACCTTTCTGAGCATGCTTTCTTTTTTTTTCTTTTTTGAGTTGGAGTCTCACTCTGTTGCCCAGACTGGAGTGCAGTGGGACGCTCTCGGCCACTGCAGCCTCTACCAGCTAGGCTCCGGCAATCCTTCTGCCTCGGCCTTCCAAGTAACTGGAATTACAGGTGTGCGTTACCACATCTGGCTAATTTTTTTAATCTATTGTAGAGATGAGGTCTTGCCAAGTTGCCTAGACGGGTCTCGAACCCGCAGGCTTAGGCAATCCACTCACCTCAGCCTCCCAAAGCACAGGATTATAGGCTGAGTCACCACGCCTGACTCTGAGCATGCTTTCTTATTCAAATTAGTTTCCTCAATAACAATTTGTGGTTCTGTGATGTAGATAAGGTCACTGAATAAAGATTATTATAAAGACAAGAGCTTGGCAAGTTCTTTTCTCTCAAACCAATTTGGTCGTCTTATTTGTTTACTGGACAAATACTTATTGATTATACACTTTATTGGAATGGCTGGTTTAACTCTCTTCACCTTCACAAAGTCCTTCTTTTCTACCCCCCCAACAATTCTTAGGTTTTGTTTTGTTTTTGTTTTTTTAAGAAAGGGCCATGGGACAAGCTTGAAATAATTTTGGACTTTTACCCAACACTTTTGTGTGTGTTGTTAAATGACTTACATTTCCATCTAAAAAGCCACTGTAGTTGCTGGCTGACACTCCAAGTCAATTAGTTTAGGATAATAATGACCAGAATGTGGGCAGAGTGAGGATTTTCCACTGTGGTATTTAAGAGATGTGTACTGGACCGCCAAATGTTGCACTGTTTGAGGGAAGGGTATGTTACTCTTGAATATTGTGTATTTCCCATCAGCTCATGGTGGTCTGAGGACAGGAGGCTGTTTTAGTACTTTGAGAAAGACCTATTTATGGAAAATGCTTAGACTATGGAATTAGACATACCTGGGTTCAAATGCCACTCACTAGCCCTGTAACTCTGGCACTACTTATCCTCTCTAAACCACAACCTCCTTTATAATACAGGAGTCAAAACCACTCTAAGGAAAATTAAGGATTAGAGATCCGTACATAAAGCACCCAGCATGGTGTCAGGCCTATGGTAGGTACTCATTAAACAGTAGCTGCTATTTTGTTGCACTCCCGGGAACAAAATCTATCAAGAGTCCACATCAATAGCCTCCTTTACTTAAGCCTGAGGTTGACCTTCCTAGTTGAATCTAGTCATAAACTCAGCAGCAACTTGGATCAAGATCAAAGAGGAGATGCAGAAATTACTGATGGGTGGGGAGGTAAACCTTATGAAGATAAATTTACTAGAACTGGAAATATTTATATGAGAGAAGAAAAAGATAGGGAATAAATAATGACCTTTAAGAATGTAAAATATTCTCATGCAGACGAGTGGCTAGTTTATTTCCCTTTTGAGGATGGACCTTAGGGAAAATTACTTGAGATTGCAGTTTGAGATATTTAGGTTAGACATGAAAAATCATGTAGGGCTTTTATAATTTCAAAATGAGCTATTCTACAGAAACTCTTTACAAAACACAATCAGATTCTTATCTTTATGGGAAGTGCTCAGCAATGAAAGAATTAGAAAATATTGTGTAGGAGGAAGGACTGCAGACCTGTGCGTGTTTATCCTGTAGTTGAGAAAATCAAGACTGAGGAGGGTAGATGTGCCATGCATAAATCCTAGTAAAGCAAGAGCTGGCTTGTCTCTTGTGGCCCCAAAGGATAGAACCAGTGCGAATGTGTGTGTGTGTGCCTGTGTATTGTGGGTAAGGCAGGAAGGGAGGGTTGGTTACAAGAAGGCAGTACAACAGGAGAAAGATTTTTCTGGTTGCAATTGTTACTCAGTAGAAATGGCTTCTTTGTGAATGTAGCAAGCTCTGAACACCAGACTGTAAGTAGAATGGTGTTGAAGAGCACTGGTTTGGTAGACAAACTCTCCTGGATTTGAAACACTATTCAGCAACTTTCTCTTCTTTGTGCAAGGTTTTTTCTATGACCATAAGCCAGAAACCTGTCATTAATTAAGGTGGTGAGAGCATCTTCATTGTGAAAAGTACATGACATAATGTGTGTAAAAGGAATGGCTCATAGTCTTTGGTAGCAACAAGAGTTCAATAAAAGGAAGGTTTTGTAGTGAACATATGGACTCCAGTGAGTTATTTTTTTCTGGAAATTTCTCTCTCTCAACTCTTGAAACCCCTTCATTGGCATATACAGCTTTCTCTTAAAGCAAGCATAAGAGTTCTGCAGTGAAGTAGATACTTCTCCTCTCTCAGTGCTCCTAGACAATTATGCTCTATAGACTATATAAACACACACATGCACACATACATACACATACTTACAAAATATTATAT